GTACAGTATCATAGTCTACCTAGTGTGATAGTGTACCTAGTGCGGTACAGTATCATAGTCTATCTACAATTGTAAGATTATAACTGCTGTACTGCTGTAGTAGGGCTATTAGACATGTCTACACCTAACAACAATGACTACAACTGTTGTACTACTGTCGTAGATAATTATGTTGAATCTCTTTGACAATTGTAGACATGTTATAAAGACAACTTGGGTAGATTGCATGCGATGGTTGTAGACAAACGTTATGCTGTCTATTACCTGGTCCTTTACCAAGTAGCCTTTAACTGACCAACCATTTTCCTGTAATGATGAATGCACTAGACAGTAACGAAGACATTCCATGTATGTTGCCATAACAACGGCACATTCAGATGGACTATGCTGTACTCTTGGTTTCTGCAGCCCTTCTTGTAAATTATCAAAGAAATTTTGATAAAAACCAACACCAGAAGTAACAACCTTCACAAAAACATGAAAACATTATTTAAATCATTGAAATAGTTCTTTGTGACAAGCATCTGATTGGATAAATACAATTCAAGATTTTTGTCCTACCTCTTGAGGTAAAGTACTGATGAATGGTAACAGACTTGGATAAATTACGGATGCACATCCATAGCCACCATTTGTCAGTACTGACCATAGCTTGGGCAAAACTGCTTTACGCACATTGACATGTAACCAACAATCCTATAATGAACAGTAAGACAAGTTGATGCATAAGTTCTCATTCACTCACTCAGTATAGTATTACTCTATTTTTATGACTTACAGGGATAGTTTTTAGGACAAACAAGACAGCTCCCCATAGGTTCTGACAGACAGCTGGTTCAGACTCATCCAGTGATGAAAGGACAACAGGGCATGCTTGAGAACAGACAGACTGAATGATAGTTGGAATCTTCATACAAGATGAGATAACAAGAGAAAAGACAGCACTTCGAACCTAAAAAAGTGTTATCAAATGAAGATAGCAGTTATATTCATGGCTGTGTTACTGCATAGTGTCCTTTCGCTGTATATTGTGTTAAGAGTTCATTCTGTACTAAGGTACTAGGTACTGGTTACCAGATTTTGTAATTCAATGGAAACAAAGCTAAAGTCATGACTTAAAGTGGTGTTTTTCTTATGAATGCCAGATCTACATATGTTTGGTCTTCAAACTTTGCATTTAATAATAATAAAATGATAAACTATCAAGTATGTATAGCTTTACATGCACTCACCAGTGGTGAAGAATGTCTGGCAAGCTTCCAGAGCTTCTTTTCTTCAAAAATCTCTTGGTATCGTGATTGCATTTCAACATTAACCTCATTGCTACTGGTAGTCATTAGATAACCAAGAGCAAGAAGTGAAGAAGACACAACCCTGTTATATTTTGCTTCTCGTTCTTCTTTAGAAACAATCCTGTAGATACGATAGCAAGACTTGATGTAAAATCATGATTTTTGAGTGCTTTCTTTTTCGTTGTGTTTGTTGTGTTTCAAAACAGCTTTTAAATTTATTAAACGTTTAGGTAGCCAACATAGCACTTGTTGCAAAATACAATAGGTGCACAAAAGACCAAAAAAATAACTGAAATACAAGAATGTCAAAAAGAGTAAAAATTCAATAAAATGTCATAATTATCTCCTTACTTTGGATCTGACAATGTTTCAGCTGTTTGTCTGAGAATATTGTCCTCTAGAAACTAAAGAATTGTAAAAAATAAAGAGATGAAATACATTATTGGTATATCTGGTATTACCATAGCGAGATGCATGGAGTAGTGAGCTGTCTTGCCTTTTGAGCTCTCTCTATCTGTCCTACTATGTATATCATTTGTCCTAAAAGAGTTACTAACCTCACAGAGACCAACTTTACAAAACATCAAAGCTTCAATTTGCTTTGTTTCAGAAAATGCAGCAAGAAATGCTCGTTGTGCAGATGAAGCAACAGGTGCATAGCTGTCAAATTGCGCACATAACCACGCCCCTATCAATGACTTCAAGTAAGGTGCAAGGTTACGACCAACTCGCTGAACTAATTGAAACATGGCTTCTTGGGTGGCTTCCCGAACACGTTGATCAACATCCTACAATGAAGAAATGCCTATTAATTAATTATACATTATTCATAATAAATACTGCCTATAATTGTTTGGAACTTAAAATCCTGCTTGTAAACAGTTAAACTAAACAAAGAGAAGAACTAATGTACAACTTACTGGATTAAAAAACAAACAATCCACTCACCATAGACAATTTATTGTACAGCCTTGGCCAAAATGGCAGAACACCTTCAACTACCTCTGATTTGGAACTCTTGCACAATTCACTAAACTCTTGTAGAGCCTAAAAATCAAAATTGACAAAAGTGAAAGTGACAGTCTCACAAAGATTGAAAATAGTACTTGTAATAATTTGTACCTTGTATTTGGTAAGTGAGTCTCTCTTTGATAATTTTCTCATCACCATTCTAAAGCTACCATCCACGGTGCTATCAACCTCATCGCTTGTTGTCATGGGAACATAGCCTAAATTTGAGGAGCCTTGGCCATCAAACCCCACAAATCCAAGAGTACCATCCCTGGTTACTAGGGCAGCAGCACGACCACTACTGGAAGGCTAGCAAAGGATTATGGGTGAGCTAGAGTATTTATATTTAAATGATTGACTGAAAGATTTAATGGATTGATAGACTGATTGGTTGATTGATGGAATGATGATTGCTTCAATGATTCATTGATTGATAGAATGACTGATTGATAATTTAATCATATGAATGATGGAATGATTGATCACACAACTATGTGGATTAAATGATCAATAATCTAGCAAATTTTGTCACTAGAATGGTATAATATGGCTTGTTTTATACTACCAAATCCGTATAATTTCATAATATTTGAATCACTCGTATGACGTAGTGTTACCTTCAAATTCCCTTTTGTCCGTTGTTTATCACGATTTTTACCCATGTTACCAGTTCAATGTCTTCTTAAAATAATAAATGAAGACCAAAATTATGTAGAAACCAGTAAAAGTTATACATTGCCAATATTTATAAGAGCAAATCGTCTGCTATCAATCTCTATAATTTCCGCCATCTTTATTTCCGTGAAAGACTGGGTACTAGTAGTCCCAGTACTAATAGGTCAATCTACGTATTACATAACATTCATCTTTTTGACAACAAACAAAATGTCCTTGAGAAAGCGTGTGATTTCTAACAGTTCCACTTCAAATAAGCCTCCAACAAAAAGGAAAAAGATAGAGCAAGCATCATTGAGTACAGAAAATCCCAAAATTCAGTCATCAAAATCGAAAGCTTTGTGTATCACAAAGGCAAAGAAGACAAAGAACAACAAGATAGCTGCAGACTGTGAACTTAAAACACCAAATAAACACCCCAAAGTACCCAAACAGCAAGAGATTAAAAGAGACAAACATGGAAAGATTATATTCGCTGACTATCCAGATTTCAAACCCAATCTTACTCCAAAAGAAGTTCTTCAAGCTGGAAGTTTTGGTGGGACATATTTTCGTCCAATCAAATCGAGCATTACAGGTCGGTAAATTAAATTTAATCAACTCTCCTTATGACGGACACCTTAGATCCCAAAATATGTGTCCGCAATAGCGGATATCCTCTTTAAACAGTATTATCAGTAGTTTCTTTGGAAAGGATTTTTTTTATATACATGCTAGTGTTTTCAGTGTTTTGGTGATATATTGGGGTTGAGAGCTGTTAGAGTATTTTGGTCATGACTTCACAATAAGTAAATAAGGAGTTGGTTATATTTTAGGGGAGAAATATGCTGCAGTCTGGAAAGAATTTCCTTCTGACTGGTTTGATGGCCTTTCAATCCCTCGGCAAGTAGTTTCAAGTGTCTATCACACAGATGTGAATACCTATAAAGTCAAGTGTGGCGGCAGCCTTGAGATGTGGGAGAGTAGTGGATGGATTGTAAAACAAGACCCTTATGGTTGGTTTCAATGGTACTGTAGATTTTTCCTTGGACGACGCAGTGATGATGACAGCCGTCAAGTTGGTCGTTGGCTCAGATGTGCTGGAGATAAAGGTCGCTGGCGTAATAATCTCATAACGAAGGTCGTACGAAGTGGGTGTGGTTATGATAACGCAGGCGTGTCACCTGTTGTGCGGCAAACATTGCAACATTGGGCTTACAGACTGACTAAAGAAGATTATGATAAATATGCTAAGAAAGTTAAACCAAAATAACAGATTTGCTGAGTTTTATTTTATTTATTTTTATATTATTAATAATTTTGGAATATGGTGAAAAGTATGGGGTGTGCACCACGTACTAGTAAAGAGCAACCTGCAAAAAGAAAATAGAAACAGGAAATAGAAAATAAAGATCAAGTAACTGAGTAGAGAAAAAAGGTCAAAAAAGGGAAACAAAAAGTGGGTGTGGTAAAACAAAGTGCAAAAATATTTCTATGATAATTCACAATGACTTTATTAATAGAATACGTTCTGTCTAGCTTCAAAAACATGAACGTAGGTAGATAAACACATGTACATGAGGCTTTTGCTACTCACAGCTTGACATCTGCGAACATGTGTGATGAAGTACAAAGAAAGATCGCAAAAGAAATTCTTTTAGAACCATGATAACTTTAAATTTGATGTTAATGAAAACGAAAGAACCAAATAATGTAATTGATATCACTTTTTTTTTCACTTTTCCCTTAATAAAGCAAGCTGCAAGCCTATTGGAGAATTTTAGTGGTATGTTTCTTTGCGTGGTCAATGAGGTGACACGTACCCTCTCCCACCCCCACAGTCAATCAAACAAAAGGCGCGATCGGCGGGAGTCGCCTTGGATAGTTTTGTTGATTTGCATGCGATGGCATGTATCGATTGTGGCATGTGTATTTCGTAAGAGAAAGTAAACAAATTATCTGTGCCAGTTACTAAACTATCTCATAGAAGAAGAGAGGTTATTTCAACAAACTCAAGGCAAAGTGAACTGTCAAAATCATGAAGTTCCGTAAGCTTAGTGTGATCGCGCTGTGTCTGATGATGGATGTATGGCTACAAATATGCCGGGTTGAATCACACTTCTTTTGGGGAAGAAGAAGACGACGACGTCATCCACCTCCACCTTCTCCAATACATTGTACATTTACGCGTGAGTACAATTTAAATTTTAGAGAGAAATCGTTCAAAATTGTGTGAGATAAAGGTTCGTATAATCACTGTGTACGTACCTTTACAACCGGTCGTTTTGGGCTTGGCATTGTTTCTTCCCAGCTGTTTGGAAATAAGTCTTTTCGTTTACATAAAATCTAAATTGATCTTAAACTGAATCATCTTCTTGACAAAAAAAAATTAAACTGCAGATGAAGCAAAAAGTGATGAAAAAAATGATATAAACTTAAGAGACTTCTGCATGGATAGACACCCCTCTTTACATTCGTATTGACATCGATGTCTCGAATTGACATCTAGTAAGATTTTTATTGACAAATAAGTGTGGATTTTAGAGCATAGGCACTATGGTACATGTTTTGATCAAGTCCTTTGAAATTTTGTTATTTGCCGTTTGTGACGATATTTTTATGGTTTGTTGATTTCAATTACGTCAAGAATCACGCTTGCATAAGCTCTAAGACTTCTACTGTAAGTTATGTAAGCTAAAAGTACGTACATGTATATTTAAGTCAGTAATTCATAAACGTTCTTGTAACACAGTAACGGAAAAACTCACATGTAGATCCTTAAAAACGTGTACAGACAAGTATCCTTGAAAGGTTAACACATAATGGCCTTAAACTTTTAAGTTTGTATTTCAAAAATCAGCCAATCGTGACACAACTAATATTATATCTTGAAGTTTTCAAACTTTTCTTGAAAAGTTTCGTTTTCCAAATCCTTTCATAATGTGCGGTAACTATATTGAGCTTCACTGGGTTGTCGTAGTGTTGAAAATAAGCAACTCTTTAAAATAAGAGGTATACATTGTTACATCTGATTTGAGAAGGTAACTTAAACCCCCACCCCCCACCCCCTTAAAAAGTTTTCATGTTGTTTAGAATCTGTATTATATGATTATAGAATGGAGCAGTTGGTCACAATGCAGTAGATATTGTGGTGCCATTGGATCACAGACACGTACAAGAAGCATTGATAGACCACCATCATGGGGTGGCAGTTGTAGTTATATCCTGCAGGAAACACAATCTTGTACTATAGCTAATAGCTGTAACGGTCCCAGCGCACAATGTAACATTAATAATGGACAATGTTCGTGTGCAAATCCTGGTTATTACTTAGGTAAGAGGACATGATAATTAGAATTTTTTACTATTACTTATTTCTTTTATGTCTTTTGAGGGGATCAAAAAAGTGATTAGTAAATGATCAGATTTTATTGTACTGCCATAGTAATTGTCTTTTTTTGTCAGATGGTAAAACTTGTAAAGACAGGAATGAGTGCAGTATAAACAGTGGCAAGGGACCATGCGACCATATTTGTGCCAACACTCAAGGATCCTATACATGTAGCTGTAATGCTGGCTATACTCTCTCACGTCCACATGCTTGTATACCAAAAGATTGTGGTGCTCTGACAACTTCATCATGCCCTGCTAATAATTCCTATGAGGACAGTTTTTCTAAAGCCTGCAGGAGGGTGACTGTGAACTGTCTTTCAGGGACAAAATTTCAACAAAGTTGCACTCTTTCCTGTTCTAGTGGCTACAAAGTTGGTAAAATAACTTCACAGCAAGGACAAAGCTTTGGTCAAGACTTCAACAAAGTAGATTTTGCTTCAGTAAAGACAACTACGACATGTTCTTTACAGCAAAGTGGTAGTGGGGTTGCATGGGACATTTCATCACAAGTTGGTTCATACTATTGCCGTCGTGTCAATGATCCACCAATAGATATCACCTTATCGAAAAATACACTTCCTGAACACTCGCCTAGTGGCTATGTTATTGGAAAACTGACCTCAAAAGATATGCAGCCAAGTCAAAGTTTTACATACTCTGTGGAAAAGTATTCAGTGTTATTTACCGTTAAGGGGGATACATTGGTGAGTACATGGATAGATCCAGACCTTCAAGGAACAATTCCACTTCAAAATGGCAGGATTGATATCACAATAAGATCCAAAGACAACGGTAATCCACCAATGTGGAGAGACCAAGTGATTCCTATCCAAATCACAGATGTTAATGACCCACCAATAAACCTCACATTGTCCAATAATGAAGTGTATGAGAACGCAACAATAGGAACTGTGATTGGTGTATTTATGGCGAAGGACAAAGATGACCCCCCTGGTACTCCAGCAAGTTCATCAGCTTTCAAATGGAATTTGAAAAAGGACAGCAATGGCATGTTTGCTCTCAAGGGTGGGTCTCAGCTTGTCGTTAATAAGACTTTGGACCATGAATCAGACAAAATACATCATATTATAGTATCAGCAACAGATAATGGAAATCCACCACCAAAGACAAGCCAACAAGATTTTTTCATTAATGTACTTGATAACAACGAACTACCAGTTTCATTAACACTTTCGTCAACATCTGTTGATGAAAATTCATCACATGGTACAGTCGTTGGGACATTAACGGCAACTGATGATGATAATGATCCCATTTCATTCTCCCTTTCTCAGTCACCTAGTTTAACTCTTAGTAAGTTTGAGTTATCAACGACAAGGTGTTCTTCTGTTGGACAATCTAAGACATGTAAGTCTGATGTGAAAGTCAAAGGGGATTTGGATTACGAAGAAAAGAAGTCGTATCCACTGTTTGTTGTAGCCAGTGATACTTCTGGGCAGATTGTGAAAGAATGGTACATTAATGTTGTGAATAAAAATGAGAAACCTACAAAGATAACCCTGACTGGTACGCATGAGATAAATGAGAACTCTTCTAATGGTACCACCCTGGGGAACTTTTTGGTATGTACTGTTTATCATGTTATTTCCATGTTTGAAATGCATGATTATATTCCTGTTAACTTATTATTTATGGTATAGCTATAATTCTCACATTTGAAAAGTTGTTGCTAATGGATTAGTAAGAGACCCTTTCAAGAGACCCTTTCAATCTTTATCTCTCCGTAAGCCCATGAAATATCCTCTCTATACATGTAATATTATAATATTGTATTGTACTTTTGATGATAATGTTCTTGAAGGTAACAGATCCTGATAACAAAAACAGTACAAGTCAAAGACACAGTTGTTCACTGATATCAGGTGATGTTGAGTATTTCACCATTGATGAAGACACTGTACTTAAAGTATCTGGAGCAAAAAAATTGGACTTTGAAGCAAAAACAGATCTCAGCATTACTGTGAAATGCACTGATGATGGAAAAAACCCGCCAAATTTGTTTGTAACACAAAGCTTTGGTATCAAGGTCATAGGTGAGATAAATGAAAACATACTAGCAATGATAACAACAAAGGCAGGACCCGGACAGTTCAATTTAATAATAGCGAATTATAGTCTGTGAATAATAGTTTGATATATCTATAATAGATATCAAACAACAAAGGCGGGACCCAGACAGTTCAATTTAATGATAGTGAATTATAGTCTGTGAATAATAGTTTGATATATCTATAATAGATATCAATGAACCACCAACGTCCTTATCATTATCCAAACTCATCATTCCTGAGAATTCACCACTAAACACGACAGTTGGAAAGTTGTCATGTGATGACCCCGAGAAAGCATACCAGAACTATACCTACATGATACAAGGACCAAAGGGTACACCCTTCAAGCTTGGAGGACAGGGGAACGATGAGGTTCTTGTGAATGGACAGTTGGATTATGAAAAGACAAAAGTACTTGATCTTACTATCAGGGTTACTGATAGTGGTGGATTGTTTATGGAGAAAACATTCCAGATTGCTGTCCAAGGTAATGTGTGGTGTATTTTCATTTTCTCTTCAATATATTCTTTTCCTTTTTTTCATCCATTTACTCCTCCCTTCCATCCACTTTTTCACAATATTCTTGTTTATTTCTCTTCTTCATTTGTTTATTCATCCCTTCCATCCATTCATTTCTTTATATATTCATTCATCCTTTTCTTTCTAAGTTTAAACTTTTAATATTATCTTATTTATGAAATGAAATTAGATGTAAATGAACCCCCAAAAGGCATCATACTAACTGGACAAAATGGCACATTAACCATCAAAGAAGAATCAATAGACACTTTTATCAGTTTGGTCAAACTTGATGATGAAGACGCTGCAGACAAAGACCCAAAAGACTGTAAGCTTCTTGATGATGCTGAAAAAAGAGTGCAAATAATGTTTTATGGTCACTGGATTCTCAAATCAGGACCAGAGAAAACTGACTTTGAAACAAGTAATGGATCTCTGAGTATCTCTCTAAAATGCTCTGATAGTGATGACAGATATGTCAGCCAGTCCTTCAACATTACTATTACTGGTGAGTAGTCTACTGAACCATGGTAAACTCTATATTATGGACACATGTACAGACAACTCTATATTACAGAAACCTGTTACAGAGACACCTCTGTCAGGGTTCGTGCTATATTTTCAATGCAAAATTCCAGAACTTTTCAAGTAATTTTTGAGTGCAAAAATGTGATATTTAAGAAGTATTTTAAAATATATATTTTTTCAATGCTTGTGTACATTTCCATTGAAAATTTTAGAAAAAATACCCTTTATTCAATTAAATGCTTAAAGGCAACATGTTAATATCATTAGATTCAAGGAATTTTCAAGTAGTTTTAGGGATTTTCATAATTTTCAATTCTTGGGTTTTTCAAGGAGTAGCGTGACCCTGTTTGTTTTACAGAGTACCTTTGTGTTGCATGCATAATTATCTTTGTTGTAAACATCTCTTTGTTGTAAACTGCACCTGTCATTTAAGTCATCAATAACAATATTTTTCATTATAAACAGATGTCAATGAGAAACCTACAGATATAAAGCTAGGTAAAAACAAAGTCGCTGAAAATCAAAATAACGCATACATTGGTATTGTCACCGTACCTGACCCGGACAGACACCAATCTCATCAGTGTGTGGTTTGTGAAGTCAATCAAGGAACATGTTCCCCAAGTCAGAATTTTGAAGTCAATTTAGCCATGGAACTCAAGACAAAGAAGGCCTTAAACTTTGAAGCAAAGAATTCATATAACATTAAAATAACATGTACTGACCAACCATCACAACAAGGATCATTGTCAGTACAAAGACCTTTCACAATAAAAGTAACTGGTATGTTTTGTTTAGTTGTGAATGTAAAATGATTCATGCTGGTTTTGTTTTGATTTTCAATAATTGAGCTACAGTAATAACAAAGCTGTATATTTTATGACTTTGCAAGTAGTATAGATACATCAGTTCCAAAGGGTTTCTCTTTCTAGATGTTTTTCTTTGGTACTGTCAAAGCAAAATATAATAAAAATGAAAAACGCCTGTGCAATATCAAGTACAATGGCTTTCAACGATTTCTTTACATTCATCATTGCAGATGTCAATGAAACTCCATCCAGTCTTTGCAGTTCACCTATCACAGCTTCAATTCATGATTCAAATGGTGCTGTTATAACTCCTCTTGATGCAGTTGACCCTGACAATGAACAAAGAAATAAACAGACACTTGCCTATTCTATGAATAATAACTTATATGGTGGGATATTCCAACTCAGGGAAAACCATGTCTTCAAAAACAAGGTAGACTACAATACTGTTTGAATTCAATCATTGTTAAAACTACCATGAAACTGCAAATCACAAACCCCCTCTATTACATGCATAAGATTATAATTCCTCCCTACATAACAACTATAAACGTCCCCCAACCCCCCTTCCCCCCCTCAATTCTGCCAATAAATGAAAGCCCTCTAAAATAACCTAATATGTTATGTTGTTTTTTTTTTCAGGAAATTTCAAATATTCAAAATTTTACACTTGCCATCACTGTAAGAGATGATGGTCGGGTTGTCAATGACAAAGGTGGATATATCTATAGAAGTCCGTTAAGTAGGATCTTCAATTGTACTGTCATTATTACAGGTATTATACTACTCATTTCTTATGTTTTGTTTATTGTTTTGTTTAATAATAATTATTATAATTAATCTTGAAGAGTTATCGCCTTCAGCAGCATGTTAGTAGAAGAGTAATAATAAAGCAAATGTGGCCAAATACTGCTGTTAGATGAGAGCATCATCAGAGTCCTGATGATGCCGTAGACCAGAGCTCAACTCTATATAAAGTGTATTTTACCAAACGGCAGAATGTGGCCATATTTGCTATATTATTACTCTCAAAATTATTATTTAATTTTATATTACCTAAATGACATTACTAGCTGATGTAAAACTAGATAGTGAGTAAGCAAATGAGTGAGTTTGTTTTGCTGTTTAGGTTCAAAGTATTCATTCATATTGAGTCAATACCATCAATTGTACTTGAACTTAAAGAGCATGTGACATTATAGCCGTGATATTGTGATTTTCATTCCATGGCTGCTGTCATCAATTCTTTCCAATTTTTAGTATCTTTATAGTTATGTATATACCTTTTTTCTCCAAGATACCCAACCATCAACTGACATACGTCTAACTTCAAACACTGTTTCAATACTGGCAACTAAAGACACAACTATTGGGACTCTCAGCACCGTAGGGGGAACACAAGGGGAAGTTTATAGCTATAAACTACTCAACAACAATCTCAAGCCCTTTGCAATTGATGGCAACAAGTTTAAAGTGGTCTTAACTCATATCCCTCATTTTGGTATTCCATCACTCAACTCAAAGGAACTGTTTGTTGATGTTATGATACAGAGCACTGATAGCAAGAACAGAGTTTTGAAGAAAAAGATGCTGATTCGTATCATAAGTATGTAGTGAGACTTGTATTTTGAGAAGCTGCTTGGAAAGACTGTAAATGCCATCTTGAAACTGCCTGTAAAGACCTTTTATGGTAGTCTTACTTTTCAGAATGAATTTCTTTGATGAAAATCATAAAAAACTTACCTTCTCCACCAGTTGTTGCATAATAATGTTTGTAGTATATTTCATTTAATATAATTACCAAAATGTTTTAGATAATGCCCCAGCCATAGAGATGTGCCTTGTCAAGCACAGCATCAATGAGAATAAGCCTGAAGGATCAGTTGTTGGACAGATACTTATTGAAGACCCAAAGCCTGCTAAATACCAATGTACAAAGACCAGCTGCTGTGCACAGATTGGTAATGTGACTGCTGGCATGTTTCAATACAACTGTCATGCCGATAACCCCAGCGACAATGCAATTATTATACCCAAGTATAACATGTCAGCTCTGTTCTATGTTGACGATCGGTACACACTCAGGACTAAAGTCAGGTTTAATTATCAAGACTACGTTGACGTTAAAGGAAAGCTTAGTGTTAGTATTAGTTGTCATGATTTACAGCGACCCCTGCACCTGATAGGGAAGACTGTCACTATCAAAATTATTGGTAAGTTTTTAACCTTTTATTCTTTTAGTCAACCATGCAATTTTTTGATTCATTTGTCCCACTTTTTATTCATTCATTTGTTCATTTATTCAGTATTTGAAGCATTCTTCCCATTGGAATATTCATTCATTTATTCATTCTTCCATCCACTTTCAAATTTTAAGGTTCATCAACAAAATGTGTGCCATAGACATCTTCTAAACCATGTACCTAATTTCCATTATTTCTGTAGACTGTGATGCAAATAACAACTGTCCCCACCCCTCTGAGTGTGCTCGTTGTAGCAATGGTGGTACTTGTCAAGATGACATAGGGTCCTATAGCTGCGCCTGTCCAGCTGGATACACAGGAGAACACTGTGAGGTTGACATTAACTATTGTGTACCAAACTTATGCCAGGTAACATGATCTGGACTTATTACTGTAATATTAGTGTAAAAAGGTATCTAACACTGCTTGTCCAACAGTACTTCTTTGCATTTATATTCAATTCTACAAAATGCATGACTTGATTTAAAGATGGCTCACACAAGACTATTTATTTTACAAAGTAAAGAATCTGTTTTTGATCTTTTTTTTTCTTTTTTCTAGTATGGTTCCACTTGTGTAGATAATAAGTCATCATTTACATGTACTTGCCAGTCAAAATATTCTGGTTTGTTGTGTAATAAAAATGAAGAACTCTGCCAAGACTGTAGTCCTAATACTCTCTGTGTAAAGTTTGTGGGAGCAGCAATAAGGTGAGCCTGGGCACTGATGATTGTGTGACATATTGCAGTGATTGCATGACAGTATTGAAGTAACCCATTGGTGTCAGTTTATGTGGCACGCTGAATATGTCTTATTGTACAATGTGACATTGTGGTGATTGTGTGACACATTGCAGTGATTACGTGACAGTATTGAAGTAACCCATTGGAATCACCTTGTGTGGCAGACTGTTATGTCGTATTGTACAATGTGACATTGTTGTGATTGTGTGACACATTGCAGTGATTACGTGACAGTATTGAAGTAACCCATTGGAATCACTTTGTGTGGCAGACTGTTATGTCCTATTGTATAATGTGACATTGTGGTGATTGTGTGACAGATTGTAAAGATTGTGTGATGTAATACAGTGCTTGTGTGACTTGTGACAGACTGGAACTACTATGTGTCTAAGCTTGTGTGACATACTGCGCTTTAATGTTATGAGAGAATAAATTTCATCCTGCCAGTCTTGTGATGCTCTTCAAGTAAAATATTTTCCATTTTTGTAGCAAATAATGTGTACAGTATATAATGATATTATTTAAGTGACATAAAATAATGTTATTTCAGGTGTTTGACAGCTGATTACCAGGTTCCTATCTTGGTTGATGGAACAGAACTGACTCCGCAGCATTTGTTGGTTATTGAAAATGAAATTGCTTCACTGGTCCAGTCATCAGGTACAATTATTATGCAATCTCATGGTAATTATATGTAATTACAAATTGGAATTTCACAAATCCTACAAACTTTAAGCCTCTTCACAGCCATGTCTCAATTGTACTGGACTCCTTGTTCCCTCCCTGGCTTTATGAGGCAGGGTACAGGGAATATGCCATGAAAAAATGGAAGAGACAATGAAAACTTTTCAATATTTATGAAAGATATTATTATATTAATACATCATACTGACACATGTCAATCATTGAATAGAATCCAAGCGCCAACGAAGGTCATCCAAGCCAAGATTTTATGCGGAAACATTGAAAACTGATTCTGTATCAGACAAATCGTTGCTATATCTTGCAATCATGGATAGTAATAATGGATATGGACCACTGTTGGCAACAGATGCATGTGCACTACTCAAAGATACCAATAGACATTGTATTGACAAAGAGGACTGTGGTACTATCAAAGAATCTGGACAAAACTGTCCAGTAATTGGAGCAGCAAAAGCAAGTGCTGCAGCCAGAAATGAAGGAGGTTTGAGTGATGGTGCTGCTACTGGTATTGGTTTAGTTGTAGTGTTTGTAATTGTGGCTCTCCTTGTTGGTGCTGTGTTTTACTATAGAAGGAAGGCTCAAAAAGCTAAAGTAAGTCAATGGATTATATTGCTCTCTTTTTCTTTGTTCATTTATTCATCTTATCTTCACTCCTTTCTTTTCTTTTCTCTATTCTTTAGCTCAATTTCAATAACTGTAAATATAATGAATAACCCTTCAAATTTCTTTACTCCTTTCTGCCTACTCTTTCTTTTTCTCTCTCTCTCTGCTTTTCTACTTTTTTTCTCCCTGCCTTTTCTTAATTCTAATGTGTGAAAAACAAATGTAAGTTAAGACTAATGCTCTTAGTTTGATCAACTTGAAAACTTTTGCCAACATCAAAAACAATTTTTTTGCAAAGGATCAAATAAAGTTTTCTATCTCAATATTAGAACAGTTGTTTGTGGCAACAAGTTGTTCAATATTTGGTATTAGACTATATTATATACTAACGGCATGTTCCTTAATGCATAAAGCAATAACTATTCTTTAATGCATGAAGAAATAAGTATTCTTAATCATAAAATCAATTGAACACCATTGACATAATCTAACTAAAAACAAAATGTAATATGTTTTGCTGTTAAATTACCATTCAGTTAAATTGATTTGATAAGTTAAATGACCAAAGGATATCTTACCCGTTCCTTGTGATTGATTGATGATAGGATTTGCAAGGTGTTTGTATCCATTCATTAACGTCATCCATCCATTTATTCATCCATCCATCCATTTATTCATCCATCCATCCATTTATTCATCCATCCATCCATTTATTCATCCATTCATCCACTTATTAATTCTGCAATCCATCCATTTTTTAGTTGTTCATCTATCTTTTCACATCATCTCTTCTTTCATTTATTCATCCATTTATTCATTCTTTCATTCATCCAATTATTGCATGATAATTTCAACTGATATAAAATTGCTTTCTACCTCTGATGACCAGTACCATGAAGTAGTTGTACGATACAACTCAAACTCACCAAACCATGTTGTAAGTAAACAATGTCCAAAACTGTGCCCTGCTTTACATATTAAATATTATAGATTTAACCCTCTGAATAGACCCACAGTGTGTTAAATTGTTATGAACTTATAGGAAGACTCCTTTCTATTTTATACGTCATGTCTTCATATTTCATCATTAAACCATTATAAATTACTTGATAAACAGATGTTTCTATAAAATTTATTTTCTACAGCATCTTAAATTATTAACACTTAAAAATCACACTAAACTGCATGTTTGCATTTCTTTCCTAAATATCATTTTCAGAATTTAAAGTAATTGTCAGTTTTCCTTATAAAGATCTGTGACATTACAGTGAAATTAGCCAAGTACGTGTAGTTATCCTCAGGGCTGGGTTGTTCAAAGCCTTATTAGCATTAATCCAGGGTTAACTCCATAGGTTTTCTAAGAGTTAACTCAGGATTAGCACTAATCGGGCTTTGAACAACCCGGCCCAGGACATTCTCGACTGGCTATATTATAGAGTTTGGCCCGTGAATGAAGGTTTGACAAAGAATTGTACCTTGTTTTTGTGGCTGGCTAGAATACAGTGTAGAGGATGACTGCTTAATGTTTAACAGCTCAAATCTTGTTGAATCAAAACAACTAACGATGATAAAACCATGTTAATAATAAGCTTACCTTTGTCTTGCATAGGCCTGTGATGACCAAAATGTTGTATTCAACCCCCATCAGGAAAGTGTTGATTTCCAAAATCCAGTGTATGCCGAAGGCAATGTTAACAATGCAGTAGTGTTACAAGACATGATGAATGATAGGCTTGGTAAAGAGGACTTGGTACATGGTAATATTGATCCTAACTCGGTGAAAAAGAGAAATGATATCAAGGTGATTTTACTAAGTTTGATTGCAGTCTCTTTATCAGACAAAAGGATTGACTGATTTCCTTTGCTGACTGATCCTCTTTGAGGGACATGAGAATATGCTGACAAAAAGACCAGTTTGATTATGCCAATATTTACCATTTTCAAATGCAGTGTCATAATATTACATGTACTTACTGTATTGTTGTGTCTTCCAGGTGACTGAGAATGCACTGTATGTTCCACCAAGTGGCCCAGTACTCAGTTCAGAGAATCCGTCGTACATCCCAGCAGGTGCAGCAGCAGCATTCATTCCTAAAAAGAACAACATTGATGATAAAAAACAAAGTATTGATCCCAAGACTGGCAAAGCATTTTCTCTACCTCTGGACGATGCTTATGAAAACCCAGATGACTTGAAGGGTAAGAAGAGTTTAAACATAGGCCTCAAGACAGGCAAACCGTTCTCTGATAGCAATTACGAAGATATAGATGATTTTAAAGCCAAAGATCATGCAACAAAAGGAAACCCAATGAATGGGCACACGGTTAAGGATCATTCTGATGAGAAACAACCACGCAAGGAGCGACGTCCACGTTACGAGCAGAATCCTGTGGTTACATTTTCAAAACGAAAAGGTCCTCATGATTACGAGGATACCGATGAATATAGTGCAGCAATTGGTAATCCAATCTACAGTGCTTCAACGGTAGGACTTCCTGGTCCACCATGTGATCCTATCTATGAAAATGTAGTCAAAACACCAGAGGACTCAGAGAGGGACTTTGAAATAGACAATGCTGGAAATAAGTCTATAAGTAACCCACTCTATGCCACATCTCCAGCAGCAGTACTCAGTGACCCAAGAAAACACACCTATGATAATGTCATTAAAACGCCAAAGGATGTGGATAAAGAATTTGAGATATCATCTACTCCTGGACAATTTGAAGACATTGGAGATAATTCCATTGTTAATCCATTGTACGACCTAGCAGACCCTATTGGAGAAGAAGGTACTGAACCATTGTATGAAGACATACCAGCAATGAAACCACCTACAGCCCAGAAACCTAAGAAGAAAGGGTTTAGAAGGAGCATCTCATCGGAGAAATCACCTGGTTATGAAGAACTGAATAAAGACAACATCAATAATCAAGATGACGACGTATTTTCAGATTCTAATGCATAATGACAGCAGATATCCCATATTATTATATTGTATTATAGATAGCTGATTAACTCAATAGCAGGACAAACTCCTCTTATAATTCCCGTCTTGGTGCTAGGAAGTGTAAATCAGAGGGTTGTTCCACATCATTCACATCTTGACACCGAAAAGGGATATTTTTGAATCCCTTATTTAGAAAGCAATCCCTTATTTAGAGAGTAATCCCATATTTAGAGAGTAATCCTTATTTAGAGTAATCCCTTATTTAGAAAGTAATCCCTTATTTAGAGAGTAATCCCTTATTTAGAAAGTAATCCCTTATTTAGAGAGTAATCCCTTATTTAGAAAGTAATCCCATATTTAGAGAGTAATCCCTTATTTAGAGAGTAATCCTTATTTAGAGTAATACCTTATTTAGAAAGTAATCACTTATAGTGACACATAGTGCCAAACAAATATTTTTTTACGAATGACTGTTACGAATGACCTTTTTATGGGAATATCTCTGCATAGTTTGCCTTAAAAGTAACAGAGCCAAGTCTCTTATTCAGAAAAGTTCAGCTAAAGTAATACATGTATTATAATTGACGAGAGCTTTTAAGCTCAATATTATTTTTGTATAAAAACTAGTTAAAAGTCAGACACATCAGTGCAGCAGAATCAGGAATTACTAAGGTGTTTTAATCTGACGTCTTTTCCTGTGGTTTAATGTCTTTGTTACCATTATTTGCATTCCTTACTGACCACTCAACACTAGAGGTCTTCTATAAAACATATTATCAGATTTCAACACAAAAATTACCAGATGMAATTCTCAGAAATGTTCTCAAACCATGATTGAATTACAGTCAACTATTGCCTGACACCCCGGTACAACAGACACCTCAATATTGCAGAAAGTAAAATACTGTATCCCTGGCACAAAATACCAAGAATTGACTGAAAGTAACTCTCGTTACTGTGGACTCTCACTACTGCAGACACTAAATGACAGTCCTGAGGGTTTCTAGCAAGAGTTGACTATATTGTACTAGACTCTAGTAAATGATGCAAAGAACATGGGATAAAAATAATCAGTATATTAGATTTTTAAATAACTATCATGCATTGCAGGCAGTGTAGATGTCATTTAAATTTCCTAGTTCAGGTTAATAATCTTACTTGAAACTAAAATACCACATTACAAATTGACACATTATAATTTGAAAAAATGATTTATTGCAATTTATATTTGCTGACAAAGGATAAGGTGATGGTAGTATACATGCATAATATGCAAAAGAACTTTCCAATTCCTTAAACTATATTTAATTTTTTTAAATTTGAACACATTGAAAATCAATACCAATAGAGTGCAAACACTTGTGTAATCAATAAGTGTCCAACATAAACACCACTAAATACTGCTACTGCCATTGTTTAGTTAACACTATAGTAGTAAATAGTGAAAATTGTTGCACACATTTATTGTTGGTACACTTCAAGTATTTCCTCTTTAACAACATATGTTTATATTTTAGAATGACATGTGTAGCCTAGCGCAAAAACGTCGTCCATGGAAAAAAAATTATGCAGGACAAATTTAAATGAAATTCCCATGTTCCTGAAATTTAAGGGCAATGTTTTTGCTATAAGTGTTCACAACATTTTTTTATATAGTATTAATTTTAATATGTACATATCCACTGTCAATAATAGCCATGTATTTAACGTTGTTACATAAACTCCAAAGAAGCATTGTGAAAATTTATGCAACAATAATAAAAAAAATGCATTCAGACAAAAAGCATTTGTAAATAAAAATAATTTTAATAAAATCTAATGAAAAGATGTGGCCATTTTTAATTAACATTTTTCCCAGGAGCACTGAAACATTGAAATGATTTCTTCACTTAGTTAAAGGTTTCTACACAAGGTTTTCCTGGTTTTTGTGCAATGGTGTAGGAATTCTGATAATACAGTCTTACAACAACAAACAATATCTTGCACAAGTGTTGAATTGAGTGCACACTCAAGACACTCACCCTCCTTACATTAAAGCATTTTTATGTGTTTTTTTAATCTTTTTTTGTTATAAGACTGTAGTATGTGATTCTGTGATCTCATTGGTGGTTTCCATAGCTATTTGAATGCTAAGACTGCCCTAAAAGTTAATCATTATTTAACCCTTGATCTCAGCTGTCGTTGTATGATTGATCCAGCCTTATTGCTTTTCTTGTTGCTTGTTGTGATTGTCTGAAAAGAAAAAACAATAAGTAGAGTACAAACACTAAAACTGTTCAACATAAGTACCACTAAATACTGCTAAATTATGCTAATTCTATTGTTTAATTAGCACTATTTTGTAGTAAATAGTGGAAAGTGTTGCACACATTTAATCTTTGTACTCTAAGAAATAATTCTTGAACAGTTTTGATAAGGAATAACCTGACTTACAGCAATACAGGGTGAAAAGGAATCCATGGGTGCAGAAATGTCTTTTTTCAGCAATCTTCTCCCTGATTTTTTTGCTGGTGGTGTATTCTCCAAATTACTTCCTGAAGGAAACATTTTTTATTTGGTTGATATAATATCATTTAAAATGCATAATAATATTAAGGTGTTGCTATATGAAGCTTACCTGAAAATAGTTTACCAAAAAACCTTTTTTTCTTTGCACTTGATGGTATCTGTTCAGTTTCGTTACTTGCTTCATCCTGATCAAGCAAAATACCAAATATGACATCAAGAAAATGTGAACATGGCTACTTGGAAATTGATAAAAAACAACACCAAAACAAGTGGACAATAAGAGGATTATACATTGAAAGGTTTTCACAAAGACCAAAGAATATGGCATTACCATTGGTGTCATTGGAGTTACTGGAGGTCGCTGTTTTCTGGCAGAACATGATGAGCTTGTTGAGCTTGCCCTCGTTGCTCGCCTTGTTCTGTTGTCATAGAAACTAGTTGTTAGTAAAGTTGTCCAGTTTCAATAAATTTAATGCCAAACATAAAAACTCAACTCTCACCTTATTACTGACCCTGGTGTAAACTCCTCTTCACTCTGCTCTTGTTTGGATTTTTTAGCAGACAATTGGCTTTTTATCTGTCAATCAAATCATGTTAGTCCAATGATCAATGAGCATGGCTGCACACAATGCATCATGGTAAACCAAGTCCTATACCCATGATGTATTGTGAAATAATGCCTATGGTCTATTCAGATATAGGTATTGAGAGCAAACACTAACTCCTATAATAATATAATATAAAGCGCTTTACCTCAGAAAGTGGTAGTTCACTGCTTCTTCGTTTCTTAGGCTTTGTTTTAGAGCCCGTAGCAGCTCTTGATGCTCTTTTACGCCGTTGGATGGGAGTGACATCTATTTCAATGCGATCATCAGGAATGGGTTCATCTCTTAAAATCTGTGCAAATAAATAGAATTTCAAATGTAAACTACTTCATACAGGTTACTCCAGACGGTGTGTACCATACCTTGATGGAATTATTGGTGACACTTGGTGTGATGTCACTCAACACTTCTTCATTGGAGCTTTCTTTATTGGACGATTGTTTGTTGCTTGTTGGTGCATCATTTTCATCACCAATGACAGCTGTAGTCTTCTTGGTCCGTGTGGTACGCCTTTGTTTTTTAGGTTTTGCATTTTCATTGTTAGGCTGCGGATCTTTTGGGACAGGTTTGGGTTGTTGGTTCTCTGGTGTCTCCTTGAACATATTGGAAAAAATAAGTAACCAGCATAATGTTAAATAAATAAAAACAAAAAAAAGAAACCGTCCAATACCTCAATTTTAGTCAGATTAACATGAAGCATTTTGGTTGTGATGTCAACTTCACACTGTTTTCTCAACTGGGTGATTTCGTTTTGATGTTCTTCCTTTAAAGTTTTGATTTTCTCATCAAATTCTTCTTTCTTGGATGAGGCAACGGCCAAAGCTTCACGCATTGCTTTCAGCATAACATCTTTCTCTTCATTAGCTGAACGAATGTCATCATCTTTTACTTGACATAAATTCTCGTATTCTTCTTGTTTTTCCTCTGCCTGTCAACAATATTAAAGGTTACATGAATGAATAGATACGCATCTGTAGAAAGTTGAATAATTTCTTACATTTTTCAGCCTTTTTTCCAATTTTTTGATTTCAGCTTCCTTTTCTTTACATTTTTGTTCTAATGCTTTCTTGTCACTTTGCAAGCTCTTTACTTGTGCTTTTACTTTTGATATGTTGCCTTCTTTTTTCTCTAACTTTATAAGCATCTCACTCTTCTCCTTCTCATGGTCTCTAGACATTTCAACTTTTGTGAGCTGATGTTCTTCTTCGTCTTTCCGAATTTCTTTCAGCTCATTTTCAAGTTTTGCTTTCTCATCCTTTAACACAGCTAGTGTCCCCTCAAGACGACACACTTCTGCTGTAGTGTTTTCTGTTTTGGAGTGTTTGGTATTGAGTTTGTCTTGCAACTGGTTGCTTTCAGCAAGGAGAGACTCAATCTCAGCTTGGCGTTCATTGAGGGCTTTTTCCTGCTCCTCCATAACTGTGTCTTGTTGTTCTAAAACTTTTTTCAGTTCTTGTAAGTCTTTTTCACTCTGTTCAGAAGCTGAAAGGCAAGTGAAGATATTGAAAACGTGGAACAATATTTTCAAAAATGGAAGAATAAAATAATTGAGTGGTTCATCTATACCTTGGATTAGTTTTGAGTTTTTTTCATTCAATGCTGAAACTTTGTTTTCTAACTCAGTTATCTGCGCCAATAACTTTTTCCTGTCACCACCTTTGGTTTCCATGACTTCTTTGATTTTTGCCACTGTATTTTCAAGTGTTGCTTTCTCTCTACTATGACGTGCTTCAGCCTTTGAAAGCTTGGTTTCAAGGTCGTCAATAGTCTGCCCACGTTCCTTTATCACATCTTGTAACTCTACCATTGTCTTCCAAACCTGGATGGATTAGAAACACTAATTATGAGCAGTGAAACCAATATATGTTGTAATTTTAATCAATCACGAACATAATCACATCATCAATACCATGAAAAATTATTTGCAATTCAACATCAAAATTGATTGTGTGTATAGATTGTTTGACTTTAGATGAGATTTGCTTGTATTGGTAGGATTGCACAACCCAACAAATATCAACATTTCCAGTAATCTGTGTATGAAATACCTTGTCAAGCTCTTCAGACTTCTCTTTGTCAGTTTCTGTAAACTTCTTCTGGAGTGACTGTAGGGATTCTGATTTCTGAGTTAACTGTTGCTCTTTGGCTTCAATCAATTTTTGCAGCTTCAACATCTCTTCATCTTTTGAATCTTCAAAATTCTAGGATATAACCAGGAAATAAAGTGGTAAGGATTGTGAGAGAAATGGAAAAGAAAATGGAAGGGAAAAGAGAGGCTTTAATTACCTTTTGTTTTTCTTCATTTTTGGCCAGTTCAGCCTCTGCATTTTTCATTTTTTCCATCAATGTTTTCATTTCATCTTGTCCCTTCTTTACTTCTGCACAATTCTTGAGTTTGATTTCTTCAATCTTCTTGCTGTGATTTTGGGCTTCAACCTTTAACTGACTAATTTCTTCATTCTTGTTTTCCAGTTTCTCTCTGGACATTTTCAGCTCCATTTTAAGTCTTTCAATCTCGTCATTAGACTTAAATTCTTTCTGTTTTGACTCATCTTGCTGCACATAGTACATCTGCAGAGCATTGTCTTTTTCTTCGAGCATAGTTGTGGCCAGGGTCCATTTTTCTTGTGCTTCTTTTTGCTCTTTTTCAGCAGTCAATACCTTTTCATTGAGTTGGCTTGCCTTTTCATCAATGATTCTCACTTGTTCCTTGTATTTTCTTTCCTTATCTTGAGCCTCAGCCAACTGACAACTCATGTCTTCAGCATGTTTATTCAAATCAGCTATCTTGTTCTCATAGTTTTGTAGTTTTTGCTTGTATTCTTCACTGTCTTTATCTGCTTGTACAAGTCTTCTACGAAGTGTCTTGACTTCTTCTTTCATGCGGAGATCACGACCTGGAGTTGATGGGGTACCTTGGCTTTTTGTTAACTCTGTTATCCTTGCCTCCTTTTCTGAGAGTGAAAGCTCAAGCCTTTTGACTGCATTATTTCTAGAAATGAGTTGAGAGTTTTTCTTGTCTAATGCTATAGTTGTTGCTTTTAGTTGATTTTCAAGTTCTTGGAATTCTTTAGAACTGCTTTCAGTTTGTGTCATTTCTCCAATATCTTCTTTAACACCTGTGACCTTCTGTGTGGAATCCAGTTTGCTCTTCAGTTCTTCAGTTTCTTTTGTAGCTTTTTTCTGCTTGTCTTTCAGTTGCTCAACTTCTCCTTGTAATAAAATGTTTTCAGCAAGCATTCTCCCTTTCTCTTTTTGCTCTTGTTCTTTTTTCTGGGCATCCAAACCCATATCCTTTATAAGTTTCTGGTTGACAGCCATTAATTCCTGTATTTCTTTCTCCTTGGCATCTAAAAGAATGTTGTTCACAGCTTCTAAACTTTTTCTTTCTTTTTCTCTTTGCTTTTCCTTATTTTCCAAATCAATCTTGGTTATCTTTTCCAGTTCCTGCCTTTCTTCTTCATCTTTCTCCCTTTGCTTTTCCTTGTTTTCCAAAACAGTCATAGTTATTCTTAGTTCTCCATTTTCTTTTGTAAGATTTTCAAGTTTCTCAGTCAGTTGTTGAACTTCTTTTGAAGCCTTTTCCATCTCCTTTTCTTTACATTGAAGTTCATGGATGATTTTAGAATTTTGATCATCTAGCTCCATTTTCAGTTGCTTGAGTTTTTCCAATTCTACCAGTGTTTTCTCTTGTCTTGAAACCTCATCTTCTAGTTTGCCAAAAAGCTCCTTTGCCTTCTTGTTGGAAAGCTCAAGGGACTCTACTTTATCATTAAGAGTATCAACCTCTTGCTTCTTTGAGTTTAACATTTGTTCTAACTCACCAACTCTGGTGTTTGCTTCTTCAAGAGATTTCAAAAGTTCTAATGCCTTGGCTGATTTGCTACTTGCTTCTTGCTGTAGTGTTGTAAGTTTGGCATTTGCAGCATCTAGTGCAAATTTAAGCTCTTCTTTCTCAAAACAGTTAGTTTCAACTTCCTCCTTTGCATTCAGAGAATGGTCCTCAGCTTTCTTCAGCTGTTCTTTAAGAGCTGCCAGTTCATTCTCTTGATGTTTGTGAGCACTGTCTTTCTCAGCTTTAAGATCTGCTTCAAGTTGTTCAATTTTCTTCTTTTGCTTATTACACACCATGGCAAGATCTCCCTTTTCCAGTTCCACTTGTGAACGTGTTTCCTCTAATGACTGCACAAGCTCTTTCATCAATTCATCCTTTGCTAAAAGCTGTTCTCTGAGTTTTGATATTTTCTTGGCAAGAGCTGTTTCAAGTTTAATGTCTTTGTGGTGTTCATCATGTTCCTGGTTCTTATTCTTTGTCAGCTCTGAGCTCAGCTGTTTTACTTCTTCATTCAACTGTGCCAAAAAGCTCTCATTATCATCCAGAGCTTGCTGATGTTGGCTGAGATCATTTTCAAGGGCCACTATTTTCAAGCCTTTTTGCTCTATCAAGTTGTTATTCTCTTCTATAATTTCTAAAAAAGAAGAGAGATCACATTAACAACAAAATAGATGATTGACAATCAAAACATCTTTGTGTGCAATGCTGCATGTCAAAGAGCTGATCTCAATACTCAATAATGACTATAATGCTTCATCTCACATTTCACTCATTAAATAGACAATGCATCATTTCCATATCATGCTATTGCAAATGGTAAAGGAGAAAACAATTTAATTTCAATTCTCTTGGGAATTGAAAATAAGACAAAAATTCATTTGGAAATACATTGTTTGGCAACAATTGTTTTCAGTTTCATTGAGTAAATAAAAGTGACTTTCACTATTTACTTTTCATTACGTTTATTTACAAATTCATATTTACAAAATTGTCTCAAGAATGAATATATTAGATTTTACATTGAAATCTACATTTGAAATATTGTGTGTCTACTTCTCAGTCAGCTTATTCTCAACAACTTCATTATCAAGTAATGATCAACAAAAAATAATAGACTTGTTTCGATAGACTAGCATAAAGTGTCTAGTTTTGATTTTTTAGTCCTCCTGCATGATACATCAGCCATTTCTCTCCTGGTATTGCGTGATCGCAGTGGATAGGCCCTAACAGGAGTAGCAATCACATCATGTCGCAAATCACGCAACCCTGCGAAGTACAGAACACTCCATTACTGCCTGCCATGCAAGTAATTTGCTACAGCCATACACTCACAGCTCTGATTAAGAGTGTCTTGTCTACTAAACAAACTTTCGTAATCTGTACTCAATGAAAAATACCAAATACCAAAAAATACTGTTTTCTCCTTTACCAATGCAATAATGTAATCACTAAGATATTAAACTATATCTACAAATTATCAAGTTTGCCTTCTTTATAATCAGCCTCTTTCCTGTGACTCTTTAGTGTACAATTTATATGAAACACCTGGGTTAAGATACTCACTTGTTTGGTCGTCAAGTTTTTTCTGTAACTGCTCTATCATTTCTTCTTTTTCTTTCAGCATCTTGTCTCTCTTATCTATCTTAAGCTTTGCAATTTCTAGTTCCTTTGAGGATGTCTCCAAGGCAGATTGTAAGTCAGCCATAACCTCTTCCTACACAGTAACAAGGAGATGAATTACGTACATGAATTCTATGCATTTTAAAATCCTAGGTGGTTATTCTCAATATATACGTCGGCTGTGTACATGCATTTGTATATTTGATTGTTTTCTAACCGTGAAAAAGACTATTATACTTGTCAAAAAGCATTCCCAGGACTGTTGCCAATGAAAATGGTTATAAATTAGACAGTCAGGAAGCTATATCATACACACACCATGAAGAAAAACATGTACATTCATTTTATATATCACCCATACCTGTTGTTTGCATGTCTTTTCACTATCCTCCAAGGCTATTTTCATGGATTCTATGTTTGATTCATACTGCTTTAGCTGTGTAGTGAGGTCATTCACTTGGTTTGTCAAATCACTGACTTGTACAGTAAGAGTCTGAGAATACCAGAACAAGAAATTATTTCCTTTTACTGTTATATTTAATAGTTGAGCAATGACAGTATAAAAATAAATACCTTAACTTTATCTTTTTCTGATCTTAATTGAGCAAGAGATACTTGTTCTTCATCATCATCGTCTGGTCTTTCAATACGTGCTCGCTTTCGTGTCTTTTTGATTGATTTTGCTAGAATTTCAATCCGTCGTTCGCACTTTTCTTCTACCGCACTAACTTCATCCTGAATTCTCTCACTATAAGATAAAACAGATATTATACAGTGAGACTAAACAGATAGGCAGCAAAAAAGAGCTTGGCCATCAACGAGTTCAGTAGTACTTTTAATGCAAAGAAAGGAAAATGTTTCTATASCTATAAGCAGTTTCTATGGCAACCAGCTGTTGTGCCATCTCAGCACAAACTTCTTCTCGTATCTTTAGTTCTAGAGTTGCCTTGGCTTTCTTTTCCTCAATGAGTTCACTTTCAAACTGTCTTACAAGATTCTCTAGTTGCTGTTGATGAAACAAACGTTCAGTACGTATTTTACCCTGATGAAGTTCTAATTTTAGGTAACTCACACTGATTTGATCAGTCAAACCTTGACTGGAAATTGTCTGGACCAATTACCTGGATATACTGATGTATTTCATCATTATTATCATCATTATCATCCATGTTATCAACAGCTGGTGTGGCAAAAGCACCATTTTCCCATTGAATGGACTTTCTAGGATCTTTAGAAAAGGTAGGGAAGGCAAATGATGGACGGAAACTCTTTTCTCTCACTGGAGGAGCCATGTCAACAGGTTTGGAGACCCTCGTAGTTACCTAGGTAACATAAACAAACAGTCCATTGCATATTTTTTATATTTTGAAGATATGTTTTTATGAGTTTTCATCATATAAACGTGATAATAACAATCAGGGAAACCCATTACCTGCTTAGCAATGGCAGAGAACTTAAGAGCATGATAGGTTTCATCAAAAGTATTAGCACACTGATTGATGTTGACTATCATTGATGCCTTTCCTTTTCCACAGAAAAATCCCTGAAACAATCTAGTCAGCTTGCTTTCTCTGAATGGGATAATCTGGAGATTGTTTCTGAAAGAAAAACATCAATAAATTTTATTTAATAAATTCACTTCATGTAAATGAAAATAATAACTACTGGGGAGGAGATTGTGAATAGTTTTGCAAAAGAGGTCCTTACGGATGTATTTGGTTGTAACGTAGGTTCTCTAAACATTTTCCAAGTGTCATGAGTGATGTGTTGATGTTACCAGACTCTTTCAGTCTGTCTCCAGTACTCTGTGTTTTGGTATATCTCTCTGAACCAGCAAGGTCAACAAAAGATAACCTGAAAAACACGCAATATTACATACAAGACCAAGACAAACATGCTTTAAACAGGCACAAATTCTTTACTTTATCTTTACTGTTGATGCAATATATCAAAGACTCCATTATAGAAATATAATAAACTATGTAATGAACCTGCTGACACGGGCAACATGTGGATCTTCTACGTCAACAACTCTGAGCACTTTTACACTAAAGATGCAGTGACTGCAAGAAAACGATATGTAATATGTTAACAATCCAGCAATGTTGTCATGATGTCCTGACTATTTTTGCTATTTTTTCATGTTACTAATGACCAATAGCTACAAAACAGTATTTTTACCTTCTGCTTGAGTTTTGGTTTAGTTTTGTTGATGCAATTCTTTGATTCTTTTTACCAACTCTCAAAATCTGTTTAAAATAGACTAGTTTTACAAACAGGTGATACTTAAAATGAATGATAACATAAAAATATCACAAACAAACACTTAATTCATAATTTTCTTTAACAAATTTGTACCTAAATCATTCTTTTATTCATAATAATGGTGCATGGAGTAATACTCTACCTTGTAAGCTTCATCAGCATTTGATACACATATTTCTCTCAGTCCTACAACAGAAATTGTTTGAATTTTTGTACGTCATATTATCTATTAATTGCTGAACTATATACCCATCATGTTAGTGATATTATACAATGCAACAGAAATCACAATTTACAGTATTGGCTGTAGTAGGCCTACTTTCATCACATATCAAGGAAAAAACACCCACCTTTGATATAAGGGTTTCCATGTTTATCGTCCCCAAGCTTTAACGTAGTCCTCTTCTTGCCTTTCCCCTCAGGACATGGCTCAAGTAAGTCAAATATTTGTTCATTATAAATCTCTGCAAATGATACCCAAATCGCAAACTTGACTGGTCCTTGTGTCTCAACACTTATACTAGTGTCATCTATTGTACGTATATCTTCATCGCCACATGGTATGACGTCATTGTCTAACAGAAAACAATGATTAATAATAATTGATATTGTAAAAAACTAATAATAATTCACAATAAATAAGAATATTAGAACATCATCAAACATACATTTATATAAATGGAATTGGTTTTTGTAGATTAACTGATGGATAAAAATGTAAAGTTGAATGCCTGAACAATTGAATAAATGGATGATGAATAAAGTGATGTAGTTTTCCCAACAATCACATTTGCAGCTAATTATAGATTGTTGTTGTTTATATACCTGTAATGTCACCATCTTGACTTCTTATTGATGCCTGTAGTGACGATTCATCGCCGATACTGCTGGCTTTTGAGATATCATTATTTGATTCCTCAAGTTGCAGGAAAGAGTTCAAATCAAAATGCTGAAAGACAAACACAACTTATGTGAATGAAAAGTGCAAGCTCTACCAGACTTTGCATCTGTCTGTCCATCTGCCATTATTTTTTTGATTTGATAGCTACTACTAGTTCTTATAAACCAGTTTACCTCCTTGTTAAGTGACATTAAGAGTCCATTGCGTAAGGCACCCTCCATATGTTCTTGTTTTTCATCAATCTTGACCACATCACAAAAGTATCTTGGCTTGAGATTCATTCTTGAATAGTGCTTATCATGAATACTATTGAACAGTACATCAAGCGTTCTAGGTAATATACCACCATCTTTGGGTGTACCTTGAATTGTGTATGTCTATAAACAACAGCAGTGGTGTTAGGAAAGAGTTAAGACAGAAAAATGATTATGAAATCAATCTATTAAAGTACAAACACTATTTGTGTGCAACATTTTTTAAATGTTAGCTAAACAATAGAAAACAAAATAATTAGTAATAATTTAGCAGAATTGTTTATTTACCTAATTTAAATTTTTATGATGCAAATTTGTAAGGCAGGTCCAGACAAGCTCACAAATTTGATTGCCAATTGTTAGATAAAAATCTTAACGTACATTGATATCAATTACAACTGAAATGCAATAACTTACCTTCCCTGAGTTGGTTACACCATATGTAAATACCAAACAGTTTTGCCCATCCATAAAGTCTTTAACCATATCTAAACTTGTACTATCGAAAAACTCTTTCTGCGTAGTTTCTGCTCCAAAAACATGTGAAAATGTAAAGCGATGCGTAACTTCGCGACCACGTTTCTCGTTCTTGAAGGTGAACGAATCCTTCGGCGCGTTCAAGAGTATGGCATTTTCGCCGTCCTTTTCCATGCATTCCTGACTATTTGCTTGCTCTTTTTCTTCATCTGTAAAAGGTCTAATTCGCAGATACACTTTCATACATTCTCTGCCATTATTAGAAATACTGGTATCAGCTTTGGCAATGTCTGCGAATTCATCAAGAAGATTCTTCCGAATCCCGCCATTTTCAATGATAGGTTGGATGTTATCCTCATCGCCTTGGACTTCAGCCTCTAAGAATGTTTGCTCCATTTTAAGAAACTGTACATTAAAATTATTTCCACAGATTGATGATCGGAAGGATCAGGATGGATAAATTCGAATAATAAAAGTTGAAAACATCCAGATATCTTCAAATGTTTCTTGTAGTCCTTGAACCACCTCCAACACTGCGTTCGTTTGAATTCTGCAACTTGCCAGTGATTGGCTAGAATTAATTCAAGATGTTCCAATCAGCTTCCAGTTTACGGATTACCGCTGACTGAAATATTTTCTTAATTGGGTTCCCTGTGCTGTTTCCTTTTCTTTTTGCCATCTTTCTTCTTTTATTCAAAGTCTCAACAGGGAAAGCTCAAATGTAAGATAGGCACTTCCTCATATCATTATATTACAAATCATCACATTTTTTATTTTATTGATAAAAAACAGTAAAACTATACATTTTTACATTTTATAATATCTATATTTTAAAAAGTATGGTACATAAAATTATAAAATATCACATTGCTTTATGGGGATAATTTCCGTCAGAAGATGTAATACTAAATTTATCAAATACAACATTCATTCCTTCTGTAGTGGGCGCACAACAGTAAAGTCCTATTTGTATTGGGTGCCCTGTGCTTTCTATGTGGGTAATGCGCATGAATTTCCATTGGTCATCACCAGCAGACTTTGGCTTGTATTCAATCTAGAAAAAAATAAAAAATACTTATGTGGTCTCTAAATGGGTAGATTTTGACCATATTTTCTTACCAAGATTCGGTGATTCAGTTAATACATTACAATTGACAGGGAAATTTTAGGTCAAAATGAAACCCAAGCCCAACCCACACAGTTTATACTTACGACATAATCATCAAAAATCTTGTGAATCTTCAAAGATAGCTTGCTTTCATGCCAGTCTTGTGTTGACCAATCACTCCACTTATTAGTGACAACACAACTTAACTTATATCTTCCATCAACAAACTCTAGTCCCTACAAACAAAAATGTTGATGTCTATTGTTTTTTTTTCACATGCAGAAAACACATATAACAAATAATTCCTGTGAGCACGCATGCAAAATTGTTATTTCTTCCTGGAAAAACAATGGACACTGGAGCTGGCATTTAAATTTTTCTCATTACCGTTTTCATCCACTTTTCATTTCCCAGTCTGATCATTAAACCTGCCTTGAATGCAAGAAAATAAAATGAAATCAACAACTGAAAGACAGCAATATATGTTCTATAGTGATGTAAAAATAATACCTGATCAAACTGATTGACAGCTGTCAAATCAAATGATGTTTCTATAATGCATATATCTTGTTTAACTATCAGGTGGAGTAGATGTCCGTTATCTTTGACTATTTCAGGTTTGTAGTATGTCCTACAAAAGAAATCGATTTAAATACAAAACCAGCATAGGTAAATGATCGATGCCTACGAAACAAAGAGAAACATTAATTTTCACAATAAAGTCGTTCAGTGACTGACAGAAATACCATGAAAAACAGTAAATTTAACTTACCGACGCCAAAAATCTGTTTTCGCTCTCTGAAAGAAAAAATAATGTGTGTTTTAGCAAAATGTTGAACGCATAACTTAAGTTAGTTAAGCTTATATCATAAGAAAAACTATTATTCTTTCGTGTGCGGCCTTACCGGAACGACTCTTAGACCCGAAGTTCCATTATTTCTTGTTTGATATTGTACTGGTGGATTGAACCACATAAAATCAGGACCAAGTTTAGTGACATTAAAATCTAAAGCAATGGAAAATTCGCTTCCGACATTCGCTACCGACGCCATATTGTTTTGGTTATTGAGCATGGAATGTGAGAATGGCACAAAGGACGCTGGATTAGATTACCGCGCGCGCAGTTGAAGAAAAAAGTAGAATAAAAGCCATCAGTATTTCACTTTTTTATCTAAAAATAAATATCGATATTTGTATAATTTTACAGTTAATAACTCCACACGAATAAATAGTTATTTTTCCATCTTCTATATGTTGTTTTTTTTTTAAGGCCAGTTTCCCATTATTGGTATCACTACGCCCCGCCGTTTGAGTTCTCTCAAAGCTTCAAGAATTGCGTCGAGTTCCTCGCGAAATCGTTCAATTTCTTGGTTCTTTTTCTTGATAATCAACTTCCATTGTGAATCCAACTCGTCTTTCTCGATTCTCGATTTAATTTGCGCGTTGCTGATAATGCGTTCTAGATCTGATTCTCTCTGATTGAATCGTTGTTCCATCGCTGTGATCTTAGATTGTAACGCCTCAAAATGTCTCATTTCTGGGGTGAAATTCTCTTTGGCCTGACGTAGCTCGTTTTGTAGGTTGTTAAGTTGTTGTTGTAGAGCTTGTTCACGAGCCTAAAATGAATCAAAACACGATGTTAAAATCTATCACGAAAAACAGAAAAAATGATTTACTATCCATTCCAAAATTTCATTTCAGATGTCACAACAAATATTACAAACCTTTGCAGCAGCAAACTCCTCGTTATTTCTTGTCTCCATTATAACTTTATCTCGCAGTTTCTGGATAACAATTTCTTGACTGGCTAGCTTACTCTTTAATTCAGTCACTATGGAAGTTGAGTGTCGTACAGCAAACTCTCCCTTCATCTGGTTCATCTCTCGCTGATGCTGAGCCTTCAGCTTTTCGATCTGATCAGCGGCATCATCACGTGCCTGCCTTGCATTCCGTTCAGCTTCAGCTAGAGAAGCCTGGTATCTAACTCGGTCTTGATCCATATTTAGAGTTATATCGTTAAGACGTTGTTTAAGAGCATTATTCTCGCGCTCCAATTCCGCCTGACGGGGAGGGGTGTGGGGGATGTGTCTTTGCGGTGATGCGAGCATTGTTTCACGTTCTTGCTGTAGTTTCAGGCAAGTTTGTCTCAATTCTGTTAAGTCTTTTTCCTTTTCTTGCAGATGTTTTTCTAATGTCTGTACTTTCAGCAATGTTTCAGTGTCTACTTCAGGATTTTTTCCATCAGATTTCCTACAAGAATATAGTTAATTCAGCTTATATGAAATCTTACCATTACTACCTACACTATGAGACTAGACAACCTGCACAAAACGACCAGTTACTTATAACGACCACATCTTAAAACGAGTACTGAATACTTAAACCGGACACTTGCATACAACGATCAACTTTACAAAGTGACCACGATTTTTCAACGACTAACCAACAGTGTCGTAGTTTGTAAACTATTTTGAGCTTTACTCACTTTTTCTTGCTTCTAACATGAGCTTGTAACGTTGATGCTCGACTCAAAGCCTCTTGTAGAACACTGACCTCGTTTTCAAGCTCGCTAATGCGCCGTCGATCACCTTCACGGACAGCAGCGAGCTCAGTTTCCAGAGCATGCGCTTGAGTATGAGGACGTTCTCGCTTTGGCTTTTCATTGGCACGTTCCAGGCCCTTTTCAAGTTGCTTGATTCTTTCTTCATAATCCAACTTCATTGCGTTATATTTCTGCTCAAGAGCTCGCAGTACTCTGCTTGCCTCTTCGTCTTTAGCCTCGAGTTGTTGCTCTAGCTTTTTAACTTGCTGCTCTAGAAACACATAAGATGGCGATTGCTTCTTGGGTGACTCATCCTGAACTGGTTGGGCGAGTCCTGGTGCAGATGCAGCAGCAAAAATGAGAGCTGGTAGCGAGTTGGGATATCTTCTCTTGATGATTTCCTCCATTTCGCGTACCTTTTAAGGAAAGAACACTTAGCACCCTTACACGTGGTCATACAATACATCGAAACTTGTCTTAGCCAATCACAGCCCTTGTGATAAAAATATGCCGTCGCACACGTGTACATCCACCAATCAAAAGACATCACCCTTGAACGTCCATGCACGTCACAAAAACTTCAAGCAATCAACAGATATGACACAGGAGTGGCAAAACAGCCCAGGATAAAAGAGAAAGAGAAGAGACTACGATTGCAGAGAAGGCCAGTTTGTATAAAGACATCTCATCTTCATAACAACTGAATTACTTTACCTGTCTTTCAAGGTCTCTGATTCTTTTCGCATCAGCAGCTCTTTCATTCGTTCTCTCCTTTCTCTCGGTGGCCGCTTTAGTCTGCTGTGTGCGAAGTCTGTCAAGACTTTCTTTCAATTCTTTGATTTCCTGGTCCTTCATCTTCAATTTCACGATATCTCTGTCCAACATTTCCTGGTTCTCTGCGTACCACTTCAGTTTGCGGTTTAAGCGTTCAATATCGTTCTCGTAGCGTATTTTCAGCTCGTTTTGTTCCTGCGTACTTGTTCCTTCACAACAAAACATTTTTTAGTCAGTGGAGGCTATCACCAGTATCAATATTTTCATCCTAATCATTATTGATGTTATCATTTTGATTATCATCAGTGATATCATTACAATCATCGTCATCATTCAATTACCTAATGCCTGATTGGCTCTTTCCACGGCATTGTCCCTTTCTCTCTCGGCATTGCGCAAGCGCTGTTCCAATGTAGTGTTCACACGCCTCAAGTCATCAAGCTCTTGATCGAGCTTATTCTCTCTCTTCTTATAAGAGCCGAGCTGGTCCTGGAGATAATTAATTCTGTCGGCGCCAAGGACAGCAGAGCCTGGAGTGGAGTATGGTTGTTGTCCGGCTTTTTGGTCGAGTCTTTCTTTCAGGTTGGCAACTTCAGTAGCTGTAATAATCATTATTATTATTATAATAATCATAATTTTTACTCATTTTTGATGTAGTACTTCTTAAAGAATACTATTCCAGTATACCTAGTTTCTGGTTCTCTGCAAACATTCGTCCTTCGGTGGACTTGGCTTTTGCTTGAATTTGTTTGAGTTCTTTGTAAAGACGCTCATTCTCTTGCTGATATCCCTGCATTAATTTCTCTTGCTCGCGAATTTCTTTCTCAAGTTTCTTCTTTTCTTCCTCTGAAATCCCCTGATTTACAACCAGTTGACACATAAGTAAATTAATTTAGATCGACTGATGGATGCGGGGAGAGATGAAAGAATGGTTGGATAAATTGATTAGAATAAATGAAGAGATGGTTGAATTTGAAAGATGAGTGAATGAATGGAGAAATAAATGACATAAAGAGTTGATTAACTGATTAAATAAAACATAACTAAATTGAAGACTAAACAAATGAATGGATGGACGAACAATATCACGAATGAAAGAATGGGTTTATGGATGGTTGGATGGAGTAACAATAGGATAAAAAATAATAAAATGAAAGGAATGGACTGATACCTTCAGATTTCCACCACTAGCCACTCTCTTCCTGCTATCGGCATTCTCCTGTTCTTCCTTCAGTCGAGCTTGTAAACTGTACATTTCTTGTTTTAGTTCGTGAATCTGCTCTTCGTAAGCCATACGTGTTTTTTCCTCCTTACGTGAAAGTTCTCTTTCTCTCGCAGCCATGTCAGCGATGAGTTTATCGTTACGACGACGTTCTTCTTTCCACGCCTCTTGCCAGTTTTCGACCTACGATAATATAACGTCTATGATTTAACATCATTACCTGGACGTTAAATGTCTGCGTAAACGTTAGCTTTACCTTACGTCTGTTTTGTGTATGATACGCGTGTCCGTCAATGTTGGTATAATCTACATTTCTAGTGATATCTCTATATGTACTAGTTACGTATGAGATACGTACACGCAATTCAATACGTACATCTACGTACATTTACAACATCAAACCTCTCGTTATGGCTACGATAGGTAAAATTACGTACTTCGTTCTGCAGACGTTTCTCTCTGGAAATTCTCTCCAGACGATCTTCAGTCGACGCAACACGAACAGAAGATCTGGATTTGGCAGGTTCGTCGTCGGACCATCTTGGCGTTGGCGGCGATTGGCTGTCTTGTTCATCGGGTCGTACGAGATGCTTGAGGTAATTAGCAAAGGATTCAACTGATTTAACGATGGCTTTCTCTTCTTCTTGTCGACTAGATTTTGATTTTAAAGTTGGAATTTTGCTTTCCTACCAAAACAAGTGCATCATAATGAGAAATCTTTATTTATTTTTACACACTTGGCCTGCAATTACTTACTGATTGTCTACTTTTCCTGGTACTTGGTGTTGGTGACCAGGAAGGAGGAGATGACAAAGATGGCTGCCATTGATCCTTGTTCTTCTTTGGTCCTTTCTTGGTCACTAGTGTATAATATAGTATATCATTCATTACTACTATTGGAACGTGGTGTAATCAATACCAATATGTAATAAATATCACGTTAACAAGATTGATGGAAAATCATCTCGATGATTACCTTTACTTCCTCGGACTCGTACCGGGGATTCTGTCTTTTTACCCGGTAGGGTTTTCTTAATCGACGTACGTTTCACCGTATCGACACTTTTCCGTGCTTTGACTTTTTCCTTAATACTTCGCAGACTGTCAGGGGGAGGTGTGTCTTCCTCTTCATCCTCCTCCTCGACATCCTCCTCTTTATTTCCAACTTCTCGATCGATAATCGTTAAAAGGTCAGCAACGGGTTTCAAGTCAAATCCCCTGCCATCTTCAATGTCGGGTGCATCCTTCAACGGGACTACCMGAGATTTTAAGGGAATTCCACGGGAATCTACTGCTAAGGCTTTTTGGGGTTGGGGCTCTGATGTTTTGAGACTAAATCCCGTACAGTCTACGGGAATAGACGCAGAATTGATGCTGTCCGACGTGATAGTGAAGGCCGCACTTTCAGCTGGTTGACGTTCGTTAGTTATGGAAGTATTGTTTGCAATAACAGGGGGTTTTATGCTAAATCCCCGGGACTCGGTTTCCCCTGTAGGTGTTTTCTTGATCACTAGTTGACCTTCGTCTTCAGGGTGGACACCTATAGACATGAAAATGAAATGCATAGATGGTTTTCCTGTGTAATGAGGTACTACCTGTTAGGAGTGGCATACTGACCACTCTACTAGTTCCAGTCAATACATGAGGGTCTCAATGGGGTGGTACGAATCACGACTCACGGCTAAAAATTTGGCTATTTCACGACTCACGACTAATTTTTTCGAATCACGGTTAACTAGATTACTTTCAGAAATTTTTTAAATGAAAACAACGTTTTTCATCACTTTTTCATGTAATTTGTTTTATGCTAGAGATACAGTGAGTGAGTGTGGGAGCACAGTTTCCCTTGTACGTTATAGACACTCAGTTATTTTAATTTTTTATTTCAAATGTGAAATTTTGTCCATGCCCTGACTTGTCTGGGAGACCTTGTTGGTAGGGGGATAGTGGAAGATTTTGGGAAAAAATTCCTGCACGGTCAAAATTTTGAAAAAATATCCACAAAAAAGCTTTTATTTTTTAAATTTACTAAAAAAATTACAAGCGCGCGCCTGGAGTTGACTGTCCTTCTGAGGAACAATACTGAATCACGGCTCACGCTATAAAAAATATTCACGCCTCACGGCTAATTTTTTCTCATTTTCACGACTCACGGCTAATTTTTCAGCCGTTTCACGGCTCACGGTTAACCCCATTGAGACCCTCATACATGGTATAGTCACTACAGGAATCCCAACCTTCTATAAGAATGTGGATGATACAAAGGGGTCAGAATTACAAGGTGTTAAAGGATCCTACCTGTATCAAGTCCACTTTTGTCTGTGTTGTTCAATTGTACTTGTCGCAATGCTGCTTGTAGCTCAGCTATTGTGTCCGTAGTTCCGCTGTACATGTTACCAGTATCGGTGGCTCGTAAACCAGATCCACTTGCTGTTCCCTCCCCTACTAAGAAGTGATAACCCCCACCCCTGTTAGTATTAATATAGTGAATGATTTAAATTGTTGATGATGATGATGATGATGATGATGATGATGATGATGATGATGATGATGATGATGATGATGATGATGATGAGGATGAGTAAATAAACTTAATCCAACATTCAACCTACATTGTTGTTTACTTTGCTGTTGCCTTGGTAATGGTTTGTTACGATCGAGTGTTGAGTCAAGTGAATCCATCAATGAAACTATAACAACAAAAAACAACCTCACAGATGTACACAGTGGAAATTTGTCATCTAGGTCTTGCGACTTGGGTCAAAACGTAGCCTAATATAAATGTTCAAGTCTGTACCTTTTGACAGAAGGCTTGGTTTGGTTATTTCCTCTTTAGTCTGTAAACAGGATAAAAATAAGATACAGATCAAGGTTACAAACTACTGATTTCACAAACTACTCCTGAAAAGATGGGAGATGTATTATTCATCAGTGAATATGCAGTGAACATGTTATACTTTTTGTATAATCTGATGTTTGATGGTTTGATGTGAATGTTACTCTTACTCGTGGTATGTCAGAAATACCTTCATTTGATGTTTTATTAGTCAACATCATTATTACTGATGTTTGATTCATCAGCATCATCATACATATAGCATTCTATATTACCAACAGTACTTACAGTATGGCTGGGTCTTTTATCTTGCCTTTCTTCAGCTGTTCCACCACTGTCGTCTTTTCCTTTGTCCTCGAAGTCATCACTGTATCTTTCGTCATCTTCATCATCGTTATCACTAATTTTGGTTACGCTTTCAAAAGGTGTTTCCTCTCGATGAGTTCCTATATTGCAATGTTGATTTCATGATTAAAACATTTGCTGCTGGGGGTGGATTTCTAGTCCTAGTGGCATGTCTCACTACCCTCCCATGGAGCTAAACTTTGATCAGTACCTGATGCATTGAATATTGAGTCTCCAACTTCTACACCAGTAGCTTGCAGCCTGTCATCTCTGATATGTCATGAAATATCACTATTAATTATCTCTTTAGCTAATAATAATTATCATCATCAAGCTGTCAATCACCTGTCAGGGGTGTCAGTAGATGTCAAATCATGGAGTTTGTTCTCATAATCAAATTGGGAATCAGCACCCTCCTGTTGGAAGAACCTTTCTTTATCTTCTTGTTCTTCAAGAGTGTCAAGCCCAGGGGGAGGCATGTCAGGTGTTTTGATTCTACCAGGTGACATTGGGCTGGTACTAATACTAGTCTCGACATCATCTAAATAATAGAAACATTCACATTTTGAGATTTGAAATACTAAAACTGGGTAAATGTAGTAAACAAGAACTGAATCATTGTCCATTAAAATCCAAGACAATGTCAAATTTACAGTACTAGGTTTGTAACTACCAAATTCTCATAGACAATAACAAATCTTGTTAATACCAAAGCCAGCTGCACTAGTTGATTTGTCAAATAGTATTGTGTGACAAGAGAACTTAATGTGTTAATATGTCTTACCGCTGTAAGTAGGAAAATCTTCTTCTTCATGAACAGAACTACAATGAAATAAAAAAATAAACGATAATATATCAAATGAGAATATATACAGCCTTTTGCAAAAATTATGAGAATTGTCTAAATATCATAATATCCATATCCATATATTGTCCGGAACACGCGGGTTTGCTAGAATAATTCATTGTTGACATCGAGAAAATGTTCAGAACTGTGGATAAGTCTGTCGCCAAAAAAAAACAAACTTCAAAGACAAGGGACTAAGGGCATCGCACGGGATTACCCATCATGCACTCGATATTATGATATTTAGATATTTAGACAATTCTCATAATTTTTGCAAAAGGCTGTATATTATAACAATATAATAATACTATATCATTTGCCTATAAAATCATTTTTGTGCTGTTTTCCTTTGTCTTGCATTGCTTTTTCTTCCCTCTCGACATAAACACATACCTTTCTGGGATGTCTTCCTCAGCCTGTGCAGCAAATGTCTCTTGTTTTAGACTCTTCCTTGTACCTTATTGAAAGTTAAAATGATATCAATAAGTATGTTCTGCTGTTATTTCTACTCTTGGGCTTCCCACTTCCCTCAAAAGAATAAGAAAGATTGTGACCCATCGTGACCCATCAGAAAAATGAAACCTTCCATTTTGATGGGGCCCAAGAACATACCAAAGGGATCCCAAAAGGGCAAGGGTAAAATAGATGAAGTAGAACCACAGGGAGCCCAATGAATGGCTTACCTTCATCAAGGCTGTCTTTACTCATAGATATAGCTGTACTGTCACCGTGGCGAGTATCTTGAGACACACCTGTAGTTGTAACCTGACTTTCTTGGACATCAGCCACCTTAACAATCATTTGAAGCAATCACTAGATCATTTGCTATTTTATGTCTCTGTACAATGTCCCCTCACTAACTTACCTTGTCTGCATCATCTTTCTCACCAGGTTGTGTTGGCTTTTGTTTTATCCAGCTTTTTCTCAATGTTTCTCGGTTTTTGTCTTCATCCTCATCTTCCTCTGCCCACCAAGGTAAACAACCCCTGTCCTTGGATGTCTTGCCTCTTAAAGGAGGTGTCTTGTGTCTAGGGGAGGCTGAGGATTCATCTGATAGCGACTAAAGCACAAAGAAATTATTAGTCCTTACAATAATACTAGTGCCGCCAAACAGTCAATAACTGCTTGTATAATTTGAAAGTTACTGAAGTGGTCCTTATTTATAACTTTTTTTAATAAAATTAAAGTTGAAACGTAATTTCATCCAACGAGACTATTAAGATTCCTTATATATATTAAAATGCTTATAACATATTGAATAAAACTTCAGATGAGCAAAAAGTTGCTCATAACTCACCTCATTCAGGAATTTCTCAAATTCCGCATCCAAATCGATATTTTTCCCTTGAAATTTTGATCTTAACGAGTCCCAGCGATCGGACATTGTCTTAAAACTCAACAATAGTACAAAAATCTAGACATTTTTCAGCTTTCTGCATTATTCTATCCATGTTTACCACCGCCAACATTTTGTAAAGTCCGCCATTTTGTATTGATTGACATAAGCACAGGGAACCCAGATATTTGCGAGATCATAGCTTACCAGCTAGCTGAAGCAGGTCGCCCAGGAATGGACTAGAGAAATTTTCGCGTGTGTGGTCCCTTTCCTTAAAATCCACTACAGCTTTGATCCAAGGAATCAACAAGACTAATAACCTGTAAGAAGTTACCCTTGGTAAAAAGATTTCTCAAAGTTTCATTTGTCTCCGTAAATGAACTGTGAGAAAAACGAATCTTAAAAGCGTACTTTTTGAGATTCATTAGACACCATCTGATATATTTTTATTCCTGTTGGTGGTAAGTTTATGTTAGACGAATATTTATGCCACAATCGTAAGGTGAAATTGATGATAACTCGATTCAAAATACACTTGTTAATCAGCTTAGAAGCTTAAGCAATACGAAATAGAACATAGCTTGCATGATGATTGATTGTTGAAAACCAATATGACTATAATTAATCTCGTAAAAAATCATTCCTTGAAAAATGATATCTTTTATTCTTTTTCTAGTGGCTTGTTATATGTTTTCCCTTGGTTGTTTTTGTTACTTGAGCAGTATCGATACCTCTCGACCTCTCGATAATTGATTACAAAAACCAAGCAAGATGTATAGATTAATGATTATTTTTATTATTATTTGGTTTGTTTATTGATCGTTTCAATTGTTAATCTCAATTTATTGGAATCTTTAGTTTGAATGGAAGAAGAAGATGTCACAGACTCAAGTCCAGTTAAAGAGTATCCTGAGGGGGGGTGGGGATGGGTAGTTTGTGCTGCATCATTTTTAACATCATTCATTGTGTTTGGTGTGCATAATTCGTTTGGCATCATCTACTCAACTCTGGTCAATGAACTTAACCTTGGCAAGGCAGAGTCAGGTGACACAAGGGTGCTATAATACATGTCCTAACTGACTAGTGTCATACACCCAGAATTGCCACAACATTAAATGTGACCTTCTGTTTCTATTCTACAGCGTGGGTTGGCTCAGTAGCCGGGAGTCTTAACTTCCTCTGTGGACCAATTGCTGGTTACTTATGCAATCGTTACGGACACCATGCAATTACATTCGCTGGTGCATTCTTTGCCGTTCTTGGACTTTTGTTAACTTCCTTTGTTAAAGAGACTTCCAAGATGTACTTGACATATGGGTTACTCTGGGGGATAGGGTCAGGTTTTTTATTCCTACCCTCACAAGCGGTACTAGGGCATTACTTTCACCGCCGATTCAGTGTGGCCTTCAGTATTGCGTCATCGGGTTCTGGTGTTGGTGGACTACTTGCTGCTCCATTTATCAATTATTTGTTGTCAACTACTGGCTGGGAAAACTCAATCAGGATTCTGGCTTCTTGTGTTGCTATTCTTTTTCTGTGTGGGTTTATTTTTCAACCAAGGAAAACACCACAAGAACAAAGAGACAGAGATTGCGGAGAAGAAGCAGACAAAACTAGTATATGCTCATCAAAACTGTGGCGTTGTAAGCCATATTTAGTGTTTATGTTTGCTATGGCATTGTTTCAATTCTGCTATACTGTGCCTTATATACATTTAGTAAGTATTACTGGATATCAATTGTGATTATAATAATGACAATGATGATGATAGCGGTTTCAAATGATGGTGATAAACAGCAGATATCATCACACCCTCCCTCCTCACTAGTGATCATTAAAATACTTACCCCATTTTTATCAAATAGTTTGAGTTTTCCAAGCAAGTTGGAGTTCCACCTGGAAAAGGTTCATGGCTTCTAGGGATTTTGTCCATCTCAACAACCATTAGCAAAGTTATCTTTGGTCAAATTTCTCAACTAAAATGGGTTAGGTCTTCTAGGATTCATCTACTACAACTTAGTATCTTTGCCATGGGTCTTGCTACTGTCTTATGCCCTATGGCTACAGATTATAATGGGGTGTTATCTTACGTGCTGGTTTACGGTACCTTTGATGGGTGTTTTGTCGGTCAGACTTGTGTTATTGTATCTGATATTGTTGGTCATTCAAACTTAACACAAGGGATAGGCATGTTATATGGTGTGATAGCAATACCTTTAAGTTTTGGACCACCAATCGCTGGTAAGTACCATCATTTGTGTTTTGGAAAGAGAGTGACATCCAAGACACAATATCTAATGCAAACAAAATGTTACTGGAGTAGAATTGATCCCTGCAATAACCCACAATAGCTGTACCCTTTGTAACCAGTCATGTGAACATGCCCTGTCCAGGAGAACAAGCCACCATTCCTTGTATGTGACCATGGAAAGACCATAGTAATCACCTGAAATCTGTTTTGTAATCAATTTACTGTCAATCACAATTTGTTACATGAATTCATTGTTAGGTTGGTTGTACAAGGCGTTTGGTGTGTATGACTTTGCCTTCTACGTTGCTGGAGGGATTGCAATACTTACATCTCTAATACTGTTCATAGTACCTTGTATTCAAAAGAAGCAAAAAGCCTCAGAATGTCAATCAAACAGACTTATACGTGAACAAGTGCAGGAAAGCGTCACACAAGATGTTGTCACGCAACAGTTGCCACAAAACATTCTCACTTTTGAACGAAGTGAATCAGTTTATTCAAGAAAACTTAAAAGTGGAGCAATAAGAACTACCTACATGGTCCCAGCTGGAGCAAAGGAAATTTCATATGATGAATTTCAAGCAGTTAGAGAGACAATTGTATGACAAAACTACTGTACGTTTATATTAATGTTGAATTTTTTTATAGCCTGTGTACATCCGTTTCTCACCCCTCCAAAAAAATCAGGGGCTATTTTTTTAAATATTTATGATATTTTTAAATGCATAAGAGATCGAACCTCAGATTTTAGGAATTTTGTTAAGTTGAAATTTTTAACATTTTAATTAAATTGTTTGCAGAATTCGATATTTAATATTTTAAGGAAAATAAATAAATGACAGTTTACTTTTAGTTTATAGTTTAATTTATGAGGTGCTATTTATTGGGTAAAATGGGTGTGGCTAAACCACGTGTAACCCGAGGCATGTTCATACTAAATTTGATTTGTTTATAATTTGATAAATATTATATTCTAACATCCCATGAAAAATCTTGCAAAATCTCGATAAGATAGCTGAACGTTTTCGAGATCCGCTTTGCCAATTAATGTATATTACACGATGTACATCCGAAAACGTTTTTCGGCCGTCTGTTCTTCAAAACACTATGAACAAATATATCTTATACATATTATGATTAAGTGCGCGTGCTTTAGTACTACCGACGTTTTTCATAGCAGCTCCCTTTATTATGGTTATATCGCAACAATGGCGATTAACTGGTTCAGCTGGTCTATTAGCAGAATGACCAGTTTGTTTTTGTCAATATTTCGTTCTGTTTTGCCAAATTGATCGAATTAAAAACGACTGAAATACGATACAATGCAGTCATCGCTTTCTTCATAGAAAGAGCAGTCAACAAAGTGAAAACGGTGATCTTCGAAGAAAGGTGATTATGTATTTTATAACCTTATATTTAGGGATAAGTGTTCAAAGGAAGAGAAACACCAGTATTGCCTTTGAAATGCCAGACCTACAATGCCTGTCATACTTGCGATCAGTCTAATCAGTCTAGTCCAGAGTACCTGTTGCCTAGAAAAGATCTGTAACCTAGCGCCCTAAATTGATAGAGTTCTACCGCCACCTTTTTGTAACTGGCTTTAGTGATTATGACAAAATGATCTCTATTATTTGTTTTATGGGTTTAATTAAATACTCTGTGTACTAAAAGCGTAAAAAATGCCAAATAGTGCTAAATACGCAATATAGGTTACACAATGAAAATACTAAGAAATTTGTATAATTCAGGAAATTTAGCACTAACTAATGTACTAAAGTTTTTACGGTTTTATTTATGGTGTGTATTCCCAAACTGTTTATGCGCTATAGAGTATGCCACACCTTGTAGGTGCGAAGGCTATATTCTAGTCTTTGGACTCATAATCACAGTTTCTAGCATTCAATGAATAAATCAATCAACTTATTCATTCTGTTACAAATATCGCAAATAGTATTCCTAATAATGTTTTTTTGATCGTTATAGGATGCGTTTCTTCACTGTAGCTGTGATTCTTCTTACGACATGTTGGTTAACGCACGCGAAGACAGGTAAAATCATAATCAAAGTCCAATAATCTATTCAACAATATTTATTCTTGATAGCACTTAAAAACCTTTAAGACCCATGATATTTAAAATCTTTGAATGGTTGCTAACGTCGGCGATTTCGGGAATGACATTAAGAATCAATAATCTCTTGAAGAAAATGCTTAATACGATCTTTACATGATCCAATATATTGACCTGTCAAATCCACCAGTCTTCAAATCGAACGGTTACATAACAAGCCAAGTAACGTCACGGTTTTATTTTATTTTTTAAATAGTGACATCATTGACTATGAGTGACGTCACACACTATGTAACCACATCATATTTTACTGTATACCAAGGTGCATCACAACCCAATCCCAGCTTTGCCTCGCTTTGCCTGTGATTCATGCAGGAACTTACAAAAATCATATGTGCAGTGTAGTCTAGTTTGGGCATCGATTGATTTAGATAATTTCTTGCACTTTTCGGTCTAACTTTTAATATCTTGTAATGGCTTCATACATCGATAATTTATAAACTATAAACTATAGATAAACTATAAACTATGAAGAAGGTCACAAAGAAGATCGTAAAGAAGATCATAAAGAAAGTCAAAAAGTCACTCATTACGCTGTGTATCAATTATAAACGTATTCTGAGTTATGTACTCGCTGTCGAGTCTCAAGGGGATAATACGTAGTGTTCTTTACATAGTCATCAATGAGATTATAATTGCTTTCTTATCTTCTATTTTAGTTGATAAGCGTCAATGCTGTTATCCTCCACCTCCTCCTCCACCACCTCCCCCACCGCCACCACTTCCACCAGTAATTGGACCCCCTGGACCTGCAGGACCACCAGGATACATGGGCAGGCCAGGTTGCCAAGGGCCAATGGGTTGTCCAGGAAATATGGGACCACCAGGACCCCAGGGACTACCTGGTAAACAATTCATTGGTCCCCCAGGACCCCCAGGACCTGCTGGATACCCTGGACGTCAAGGATGTCCGGGAATTAACGGATGTCCAGGTTCACCTGGTCACCCAGGACCACCAGGACCCCCAGGACCACCTGGCCCACCAGGACTCCCCTACCGTGGATGAAAAGAGCCTTTTAACTTGTTGGAAATAAATGCAAACATGAATGTTTTTGATAAAAATGTTAATAAAGAATTCCTGACTACAATTGTTCTTTGCTTCTTAGAACTGTGTACACCACTACTATTATGGTCTGCCAAGCTGCTCTGAGGGAGAGGGGAGGGCAGATGGAAGGAGTGGTTTGCAGGGGGAGATAAAACTAGAGCCTGCTGGCACGGAATGCCTAAGGATGAACATGAAACTGCCTGAAATGGAGCTTAGCCTCCTCTCTGCCATCCCCTTCCCAACCCCCTCCTCCTCTACCTCCTCTCTCAATCCCTCTTAGGGCTGCTACACAGGCAATTACTACTGAAATCAAAGCACTCTGATTGGCTAGTCTAAACAATTGTTAATCCTTAACATCAAATAAGCATATAAATACATTTTACAAGTGATAAATAAATAAAAATAATGATAAAATAAATAAAAAATAAATATCAAAAAGAAAAAATAAATTAGTAGTAAATATTTACAGGTTGAAAGGCGACTTCTTCTATACAACTCTGAGAGTTTACAACAATTGAATGGCTACCATCTTATTACTTGGCAATGACTGGCAATGATTGGAAATCCCTTTCTGTATCTTCCCAACGTGGTGAGTTTCTCACCACTTCTTCCTCATAAGTGTTGAATTATTGTTGTTCCTTATGTGTGTTTTCTGATATGTTTATTCATGTTACCTCTTTGAGAAAACTTCATATCACAATAACAACACTGGAATGGCTTCTCTCCAGTGTGCGTCCTGTTATGATCAGCCAAATGTGTTTTTCTAGCAAAAGTCTTTTCACAATAAGAGCACTTGAATGGCTTTTGTCCAGTATGTTCTTTAAGATGGTAGTTTAAAGGTCCTCGCTGGCTAAACTTTTTATTACAGTAAGTGCATTCAAATGGCTTTTCTCCAGTGTGTGTTCTGATGTGATAAGACAAGTGAGCTTTTTGTACAAATGCCTTTTCACAATAAGTGCATTTGAATGGCTTTTCTCCACTATGAGTCCTAAAATGATAATCCAATTGTATCTTTCTTGCAAATTTCTTGTGACAGTAACAACATTCAAAAGGTTTCTCTCCAGTGTGCATGGTCAGGTGAGTACCTAAATCAAACTTTCTTGAAAACCTTTTCTCACAGTATGAACACTGAAATGGCTTTTCTCCAGAATGTATCTTTAAATGAGAAACTAAATTACACTTATGGGCAAATGCCTTATTGCAAATTGAGCACTCAAATGGCTTTTCAGTGGCGTGGATTTTAACATGATTATGTAAGTCATCCTTATTGGAATATCTCTTGCTGCAATAAAAACATTGAAAGGGTTTGACAGCAAATTCTTTCTCATCATGTTCTGTCATGCCATAAACCATGGATAGCATTGAGAGAGATTCACCTTGTCTCTCTTCTACAACATCCTCCATAACATGGTGAGTATGTTTATCATCAATCAATACTTCTTGCTGTGCTTGCAGAGGTGTTGTTGAGATGTGATGTTTATTGATGTACATAGAAGAACAGCCGCAATCACAGCCATTATCATCTGTTTGAATGGCAATAGTCGAGAACTTTTTGTATACTACATGTATTGTATGTTCATCAGCACAGCTGTTGTCTGATTGTCCCTGAAATCACGATAGTGATAATCTATTAATAATAACAAAGCCCAACATACATCCATGAAGCCCCTCTGATGAAAAGAAATTGAAAATTATTGGGCCAAGCAATAAGCATAAGCAAGAAGCTTACCGTTCAAAGCACTGTTTATTCTATCTATGGGATGTGATGGGGTAATATGGATGGGGGGGGGGGGGGGGGGGGGGGGGGGGGGGGGGCAATGAGAATAAAACAAAGATAAAATATGGCAATACTATATGCTCGTTGATTATATTATATTACATTATTATATTATTATTATACAGTATTGATCAGGGGCGGATCCAGAATATTTAGAAAGAGGAGGCTGGTTACTTAAAAATGGTTTTGTGTCGAATCAAACGCCGAAGGCGGGAATATATAGGGGCTCTGGGGGCATGCTCCCCGAAAATTTTGAAATTTAAACCGTCAAAAATGCGATTTCCAGCATTTTCAGTGATATTGACAAGGATCTTTTCAAGTTTTTTTTCTAGAAAAAAGGGGGGGGGGGGGGCGGCCCCTAAATCCGCCAGTGTTGATCGCGACATTTCTACATCAAAAGAAAGATTATGCAATCACATAAGATTACAAATTTATTTCTACTTATTTTTCGTGATATGAGAGTATAAATATGGCAGTGACTACTCTGTATGTTTGTGTGGAATGAAGGGTGGGCATAACGGTCATCCATAGACCGGACTTTACCATCGCAGTCTCTGTACGTTGTTTGTTTTTTTTTTCCTCACTTCTTACCTTGCTTAAGAGAAACAGTTTCTGTCCCGACCTACAATTGTATGTTGTATATTCAGTATTCATCTCGCTTAGCCCAATAAATTGTTCAAGATCAGACAAAAAGACAAAGCGCGTCGATTCAATGTCAAGCAGGCGTTCCTTGGATATTCGTTGAAGACTGGGACATAGTAAAACCTAGGCCTCCTCCAAATGTTGCTCACAGGAAGCTCGTAAGGTACACCTCAATTTATAATTTTCTATCAAATTTGCAGTATAAAATTTTAAAATCATGTGATTATTCTGTCTAAGCTCGGGCAGGAGTATTACTGTCAAGGCAGTCATCACTTCCGATCATATTATATCGAAACTAGACGCATAGCTGCGTGAACTCGGGGTTCTGCTTGAATATATCATAAAACGATGAAGTGACAACAATGACTGTTGTAGTCGAAGAATTGAGAAGAATTGGACTATATTGAACCTTAATAAAGTTAATAGTCATACTATCAAAAGGCGTAAAGCAAAGAATACTTCCTGGAATAAAAAATAATAAAAAAACAGTGTACTCAGCATAAATATCATGAAAAAATTGATCATCAGCAAGCCGGTCTTTGATAGTCACATGACAGGCTGTAAACACAGAGTCTTTTATCTTCTCCGCTCTTACATTCGTCGGCTTTTCCTCAGAAGAATCTGTTGGCATTCCTTAGACGAGACCTTAGTAGTTTCAGAGCCTGCATAAGTTCGTATACAGTTCGCTTGTGCTAAGATAGGTAGCTTGTTTGATAGACAATTCTCGATAGACTCGATCTCGATAGACAATAAGATAAATTCTCGATAAATTTACGTTATCTTCTGAAATTCATTTTTCGGAAAAACGCTGGTCATATTTTAGTGTGGCTATGCCACGAAAGTGTGGATATTTTTAAGTGATTTGAGCTTATTTGTAGACGTTGAATTTCTGTCTTCTTCCACCTCGCGTATTACAGTCTCGCCGACTATTCTCGTCGGTTTGCACATGAAGTCATCAGTCGAAAAAAATTCTAAAATCACAGACACACAACATTAAAGTACTACCTTGAAGAACATAATAGAAGTTCTCTCTGAAAGTTTCAACTATTTTTGCTGTTTATTCGTTGAGTTATTAACGTTGAAAAATATGTCACGCAATACTGTCAAGCTACTTGAAACACGCCAAATTAACCTCGGAAAGCCTATAAATCTTAAAACAACTATAGTCTCAGCATTAAATTAAATTTTTAGAATGATATTGTTAGAAAACTGAAGCAAAATCATTACTTTTGAGCTTATTTCGACACTCAGAGTTACTGTCCGCGTGGTTGTGTACTGGAGGTCACTGGATAGTGCCCCATACATTCCCTTGTAAAGTAAGACCGTATTCAAACGCTTATATTTTTGCTAAAAAATCGCAGTTTGACTTCAAACTTTGCATAATTGTTGGGAATTATATGCTGTTTTTGGCCATGAACATGAAAAATTCATTTAGATCTTAAAACACAGCCTTTTGTAGTTATTTCTTGACCTGTCTAAAACGCATTGAGCCGTGATAATCCCATACATTCTTACCAATTTTCGTTTGCTCGTATTTCTGTTAAAAAGCATTATTTTGGCTCAAAATTTCGCAATAATACTTTCATTTAGATGTTCTATCGAGGACAATAATAATATTTCGCTAATTTGGTCTCTAAATAGCATTTTTAGAATAACACGTGATTATGAGCTTGGGCTACCTGTGGACAATTTGTGACTGATAAGCGACGACAATGAAAAATAAGAAGCCCGAAATTTAAACTCTGGGTTCCACAGGAACCCCGAGTAAT